AATTAATGCTAAATTAAAAAATGGCAACAATCCAACAATGTTTCCAAATGTTTCCAACAATGTTCAAACTCAGAGAAATCTGTCATTTTATTCAGGTAACGCTGCGTTTCACCGGTCGCCTGTCAATGGCGTCATACCCCCTTTGTGCCTGCGTCAGTGTTGTGGTTGTCTGCCAGAAGCTGTCATACATTGACTGTTGATCCAGTCTGAAGCCAAATTGTTACCATCCACTGTTTAGATCTTGGTGCTTTTTAACTCTAGATTTGAACCGGATGAAGGATTTTAGTCATCGGACGTCTGGATCTTAAGTTATCAGAGAAACAAGCTGAGCTAACGTTAGCAGCAGCTCGGCTCGCAGCCCCTCCGGGACGTCCTTTGTCTGTCCAACAGCGTGGGAGAAGCAGTGATTTTTAAGGTGGAACTGCTTTATTCAGTGTGTTTAGTGGTTTTAATCAGCGGGTCTGTTTGTTTTGGAGAGGAGGAGACCTCTGTGGGTAACTGGGCTCCCGGTAGAAACCTCCTGAACTACGAACAGTGAAGGAATCCGGGAGAAGCTGACTGCAATGACGTGGTGAAGACAACAACTCCCATGATCCCACCCTACTTCATCAAACTTTGTCTTTTGTTATTGTTTTGATGTGACCCCCTAATTGCAGAAATTACATATTGTACATTTAATGTGCAGTGTATAAATGTGTAAAATATCAGTCACGCATTATTTCAAAAATAATTATACTATAATAAATTCAATCAAAACATAACTGTAAGTTCAATAAACCACATTTTATATTTAATATTAATATTTTCAATGCAATTGTTAACTGCAGTAAAAAAGAGTTGCCTCCCTGTAACTACAGTATGTTTTAGTGTTAATGCATGATGACAAAAAATGATTGATGAAATGTAGCATTTAAGTGTTTTTTAGTTACAAGGATATTTAATAAATCAGACCCTGATGGCGTAGCACTGTATAGTATGTCTTTATATTGCCTTTTTTTTTTTTTTTTACCAAAAAGGTTTTGAACTGGTTGGGGGGTACTCGACAGAAAATGTATGAAAAATGTTTGAGAACCATTGCTCTAGGGTGCTCTCTCACAATAAATGCATCCGCCCCTGCCCCTCAAACACCCACTGGTGGTGGAGTTTGCAACTGGTGGAATGGAAGTAATGCAGCAGAAAATGGAAATACTCAAGTAAACTAAGTATAGTACTTGAGGAAATGTAGCTTACTTATCACTATCATTATTCATTAAATCTACTCAATCTGAGAATTTGACAGAAATGTGGAAAACTGGAGCCTTTACATGACTTAAACATAGGGGGGAAAAGTTGGAGATGTTGTGCATATTAGAATGCATATAGAACCCAGACAGACACCCAGCACAGACCCTGTGACCTGACCGTCATTCATGGTAATCCCCAGAATACACACACAAGGTTGATCCTGACACCTGTGCCTATAAGACATTGACGCAGAGGAGACAGATCAGACAAAGACAGCCAGGGGGACAGACGTCCCGTTCACCTGATCCAACTCCACTTAATACAGCCACACCCTGGTTGCTGATGGTTTAGGATACATCCCAAATACCTGTCTGTCTCTCCTCTTGTTCTCTGTCTGTCTCTCTACCATCAACTGTCCAATAATCGCCCAAAACATTCACAGCTCAGCTAAAGCATCACACAGACACACAGTCAAGTTTCTCTGTCACTGAACACACATACACAAACAGAGCATCCTGTCTGTCAGACACTCTCAATGATATCGTCCCTTAATTTGTAATAATCTGTATTTTGTCTCTGACCTCCCCCTCAAACAGATTAGCAGCTAGTCTCTCTTTTATTTTCTGAAAATTAAATGAAATGACTCCAAACTGTTTGCTTTTGTTAAACATTCACTGGATTCCATAAATACTGCATTTAGTCCTGGCTCATTATGGACACATGACTGTTTATTCTTATCTGTCTAACAGAAAGTTTAGTTCCTGTTCTCCCGTCTACATGGAGGTGACAAATGAATTTTGTCCACTTACACAGAGTCCAAATAGCAATAATCTCCCATTCCTCATATCTACTTTTTCTCTGTCAGAAATCAGTACAGACATGTTGTACTTCCCAGGCCAAGTTTGCTGTCTGAATCTTGCTATTTGGCATATTAGTAAGAGAGCACTCTGCTATTGTTTTCCTCAGACTACAGACTCATTAAAGTTCCACTCCACATTTTTTCCCAGTCACATGCCTGCAGTACCTCTACACCCCCCAGACCTGACCAGCCCCTCAAATATTCACAACTTGAATCACTCATGTATGGAAGGTATAAAGCTGCTGGGTGCATAGTCAAACAATGTGAATGATAATAAAGTCAAACACAGCTGTAATAATATAGAATTTAAATAATAAGGAAATAAATATATAGTAGAAGACAAATTATGTACATTGATAAATAAAAATGTCCTTGTGTACAACCAAATATAGTATGTTATTAACTATTTATTAAATGCTTGAATACCGCGTAAAAATGCCAAATAGGGGGACATAAAGTAAAGTGTAGACCATAGACTGTATAAATAAAAATTGATGTAGTCTCTGTGACGGCACCCACCTGTCAAGCAGCCAAGTCCTTCATAATGTAATAAAATTTAAACAGGTGAGTTAAATAAAAATTCACCCCCTGTACAGTTGCCTCAAATAGCCATTTAAACTTCTAGGTTCCCATATTGTGGTCCCCACAAAGCTGTTGGAACCATTAAGTATAGTGGGCTCCTGGTTTTTGGAACCCACAAATAAAGCAAAACAAGCCACACACAAAACTTATTTTGTACAAATACATGCACACTAACTGGTAAAATACAATAAATAAAAACTGTTGCTGACTGATACAATGTTGACTATAATGTTTTTCTGTACTTTTATTCAACCAGATCCATTGATCCAAGTCCATTGAGAACCAGTTCTTACTTATAGCAACAACCTGGCCAAGAGGCAATGTCAGCAGGGGCGGATCTAGAGAAATATTGATGTGGTGGAGACTTTAAGGGGTAGCAGAAATATCTGCTGATTTAATCACAGACATCAATATTTCGCTTAGAAAAGCCCTAATATACTATATACTATATACTAATATAATTTTTTCAAATACATGCTTTTTTCTTTTAAGTCTATAATGTGGCAATAACAGATCATTGAATTAATTTCCCGCTTTTTAACACATTATTTTGAAAATTCATCTAAATTAATGTGTTGAATTTGACAGCTTTTTACACAGCGTCAGGAGGCAAGTCGGTACGAGAAGACATCAAAACATAGATAGAAACCAGTATTAGACATAATTAAAACATCACAATACGTATACAACAACAGAAATCTATGTACTGTTTCACAGAAAAGCTGATTCAAAAGCAGGTGCAGTGATCACGTGTAATGAGTTATTAAAGAAGGGTAACGCCATGTGATCTGTACCATCTTTTGCAACTCGTTCCAGTCACAGGGAGCGACAAACTGGAATGAGTAACGGCCAAAGGAGATGCCAACTTTAGGGGTGACTACACTAATGAGTTTGCTAGAGCATAAATAGCAGTTACAGTTGGAGATATTGAGTAGTTAGCAGAGATATGGAGGGGTTTTGCCAATGATAGTTTTATAAATGAACTTAAACTGATATGGAGTGATGGCCTGTTGACTAGAGAATACAGGTTGCAGTGATGAGTCTTGAAAGAGCGAATGGCAGTATGGTAGGTGATGAGGTTTGGAGGCAAATCTGTAGATTAAGTCGCCATTATCCAAGATTTCGAGAATTGTCATCTTAACCAAGGTGTGCTTTGAAGCTTTTATATGTGACATTAAATGTCCATGCTTTGATACAATTCAGAGAGTTGACAGTTATATGAGTATGTTCTTCAAACTTGATGCAACACTAAACTTTCTGCACATTGTATGACCTCATTCTGCACCTCCATTCATGCACAGACACATATGAATGAGTGCCTCTCTGCTGATCTCCTCCCTGTTTGCTCTGTTTGAGTATGCATGACTGGGGAGCGCTGCCCCTGATTCTGAACCAGTTGTGTGTCAAATCTAATAGAAAAGGCAAGTAAAAAAATGAATTTGACTATTAGCAATGCAATCGTACACCAGCTACTAATGTTTAAGAATTCAGTCAAGATATTTGTCTACAAAGTATCCAACAGCATTAGTAATTAATACGAAATAGCCAAATGCTTCTCAGTATTGTGAAAATGGATTTATCCTCATCATTGCTGTACCCCAACTCTTGGACTTTTATTTTATTGAACTATCCAATAAATGATTAAATGCTGGCACTAATATGTTATTCCTTAGTAAATAAGCACTACAGTAAATATATGTGAGGTAAAATACACTCTAAAAAGTAACTTATTGGACCTATTGTCACCACTTAAATAAATGTGTGGTTGCAACATAACATTTCTAATCGATTGATTTAGATTAACCTTTTTTCATTTTTAACATTATATGAGTTGTGTTGACATAAAGAACGTGAAAAAACTAGTTAGAACAGTAACATTTTTACAAGTAGCCTAATCAAAAAACTTGTTTATGCTACCAATTATAAGTAGTAATTTAAATATTATTTTATATTATTTAATATTTATTTTAATACCTTGATTGTAGAGGAAAAGCTAATTCCCCTAACTCAATGTAGCACATTTGTAAAACGTAATTTCATTGGAAGTTGCCACGACTTAAAAAGATTGATGCAAAATGCTGTGTTAATTTTTATTGTTGAGCCAAAACATTTATTTTTAGTGTAGCTCCCATAGGTATTTACGCCCGTATAATAATAACTCTTTCCAAGCAACCTGTTGCCTTCACAGAATAAGGATTAACTTCAAACAAGCACGTAGTCATTAACACCCTGACATTCCTTTCAGCACTTCACATCAAATTACAATTACACCCAGAAATGGCCTTCCAAAAGGAAGTCTTCACAGGAAAACAGCAGAACCGTCCTTTCCACTCACCCCATTTGAACATCATCATCGTCAGCAGCACTGTCTTTAGATTCAGGTGAATTTTTCCCAACTCCATGATGAAACCACTGTCCTGGGTCCGCACAAGACCACAAGGTGTGTAAAAAAAAGTGAGAAGTACTAAAGTACTGGCATGCTCACTATGTTGCTGTTGCCCTGTGTTTAGAGACTGGCATACACACACTGCCCATGCTTTGCTACTAATGAGAGCAGCACTGGACTCAAACAGACAGCCCTCCCTGCTCTGGACTCACAGAGTGTAATCAGCCATGAGAGCGGAGAGACGACAGGAAAACATGAGCTGGATTAACACCTGCTGATACTGATGCTCCCACTCTGAACTCCTGTAAGGGACGGCATGAAGACAAGAAAGTACAAAAGAAAGAAACACAATAAAAAGACATACATGTTCAACTGTTAGTAAAGTAAAGTAAAGTAGTAAGAGGTGAAAGATTTTACAAGATGTTACATTATAATTACAGCTTTCCAGTTTTATACCACTTGAAGGACCGGTGTGTAGGATTTAGTGGAGGATCTATTGGTGAAGTTGCAACTAACTGAACAGCCCTTGTGTCTGTATTTGAAGACCTGGGAATGAGAACAAGCTGTGAAGTGTGTAGGATAAACAATATTGGCCACAAAACAAACGAAAAATGTCAATATCTACCGCCAGTGTTTGGTTTGTCTGTGATAAAAACAGCTCATTCTAAGGTAACAAAAACACAACAATACTTATTTTGAGGTGATTATATACAAAACGTGTCTATGAATATTAAAGATAGTCCTTTAAGTTGTTTGATTAGACTGCAGGGTCATGGGTTAAATGGGTTATATAAATAATTTAAGTTTAAAGGACCAGTGTGTAGAATTTAGTGGTATCAAACAGTGAAGTTGTAGAACCATCTGAATACAGCTTAGCCTTCCAAGTGTGTAGGAGAAACTATGGTGGCCCTGTCTCTGGGTTGGAACATTGTTGTAAACATTTGGGATAATGCAATTACAAAACTCAACAACATATAAACCATAGTTCTACTGTTTATAGACATCTTAATGTGGAAATGTTACAGTATAGCTTTAAATGCTTCGAAAATGAGTCAGTAGTAATATGTGTAAAGTGTGTGTACTTTTTAGGCTACAACAAATGGTATCTTCCTTTAAAGCATGTTAGTTTATGAAAACCTGGATTCTCTGTAAAGGCTCATGCTATGTTACCTTTAAACTGCTCCTTTACTGAAATATATACATGGACAAATTGTTTTTATATAATATTCACACACATACTCCCTTAATGGAGACATGCCTTTAAAAAGCCTAAATCCAGTGGATGTCCGGGTGTGAACCAATCAGACTCTCTGTGTTGACTTGTGCAGTCCAGTGAATCCAGGCCAGGTTTTAGTCACTGGCTCATTAGTGTCCTCAGCAGCTTTAGTGGCTCCTTTGTAGCGTGGAGCTTAGTAGTCAGACATCCATCACTTAGTACTCGTTACCCCCCTTTGCTCCTCCTCCCCCAAACACCAGCTGTGCCTGACACCCCAGAACCTACTGGACAGATTTGCACCCATGAACTTTGTGTCCCCTACAGTAACTGATTACGGCAAATGATTAGGATATTGTGCATATGGGTACAGTATCATGAATAATGTCAAGACTTAAAGGCTGCCCATGCGATGGTCTCTGTTGGTACCAGTGAGAAGATGAAATACCATCAGAAAAGGTAAGTTTGTGTAATACTGTACATTTTATCAGACACCAAAACACTGCAGAGCAGTTTATAGTAACATGAGACAGCATTTTACACTGGGCCCTTGCATTGGCCTGTGTCACTGCAGGTCAGAGACACAGGCCGACGTAAGGGATAAGCCACAACCACACATGACCCATCCCATGAAGACAAGTTTTATCTGAAGCTGTTCACTGTTACACAGTGTTGGACAGTAAGGCAATACTAGTAATACATACAACCTCCTGCACCTCCTGCTAATTTGAAATACAACAATCCAATCATATCCTTGGATTCATTTTTGGAATCGTGGATGAAACTAGTTTGAAGATGGAAACGCTGACATTCAGTAGCTGAAAATATCCAATTACTTTCAAACAAAACTGGATTTAATTGTTGTAAGTCTTAAATTTTGGGGAGAAGCGACACAATTACAAATTTTGTGGGGAGTAGCAGAAAAGTAATATAACTTGTAGTGTAACTAATTACTGTTGGCAGGGAGTAGTGATGACGTAACAACAGACCAGTTATTTTAGTTTTGTATTTTTCATCAGTTTTTATTTAGTTTTTAAACTCTGCCTAAATCCCGCTCCTATTTTCTCTTTGCTCCAATAACAGCTGAGCAACCTCGGTCAGAACCTCTGTCTATCTGTCTGTCTATACTCAGATAAGCTATGGGCTAGGCTAATCTATGTTGAAAAGACATTTTAAAGATGGTTAAAAGATAAAAGTAGGACTATAATAAAAATGCTAGCTAACAAGCTAGCTAATCTAACTACATCAATTATTAGCTGGCTAGTTATCTGGTTAGTTAACTAGTTTGTTAATTAGCTAATCTAGAATTAATTTTTAGCTAGCTAATAACATCTGTTAGTTAATTTGAGCAAAACAGAAGCTATTTAGGTAGCTAACGATTGATGAAGATTAGCTGGATAGTTAACTAGCGCTTTACTAACATAAGATGTGACATATTAAGATGTGATACTGATATGCCTCAGAACTTTTCAGAATGTTTGTCGCTCCACCGTCTGCTGCAATGGAGTCAATAAAGCAGCTAACGCTAATACTAATGCTATATATATAAGTGTTATTCTTCAGCTCGTCCTCTCCTATCACACATATTTTGTTTTCCAGTTGCTCTAAAAAAGAGGATAGATTTACCCTATGGGTTTACCACAGAAAACACTGGTTCCAATTAGGCACCCATAATTCATGCAAGGCCTCATGGGCCGTAGGAAACTTGTGGATAGATATCTTTTAACCATCTTTACAATGTGTTTGTCTTTTTAACATAGATGAGCCCAGCACGTAGCATATCTAAGTACAAGAAAGGAGGGAGCTGAAGTTCCAAAAGGTGGGCCTTAGGAAGGGTCAGTTCACTTTAGTTTCCAGAGTGGGTTTGCTTGTTTCAGTTTCTATTGTTTAACATTTTTTAGTTGTAGTTCAGTTTTTATTAGTTTCAGTTTTTTAATAATTATATGTAAAAGGGTAACATTTTATGGTGGGTGATAACCTTGTGATAGAGTGACACTTTGCCAATGATTTATTACTGAAGAATTTCCTGTTAAGTGATAGAATATACTGTAACCCCAGGAAATCAAAATGAGTCACAGCTGCGGATGTTCTGTCAGTACATACACTACCATAAATGCAAGCTGTGCTAAGACAGTAGACTACTGCAGCAGATCTGTTGTTCTGTCCTTGAGAGGTCCCTTCCTTATCAGTAATAGATAATGATGGAGTGGTAAACCACGCAAGGAGTGAACGAAAAGAATAAGTGTTTTTAACACCATCTATTAGTCATCCGTTGTGTCATCTGAAAGACAACGCTGTTTGCATCTTTGAGGTCATGAGCTATTTAAACCAGATCAGTTTATTTTTTGGTGTCAGCATTACAAACAAGTTTTCTGTTTACCTAGAGAGCTGATCAGGACGTGACACTCTGAGCCACATGAATACAGTATATTAATGAGATTATCATCTTTTTCCTGCTTAAATTATGAATCATGTAAGAGTGTTTAGATGCTGATGTGACCACCACCTTTTCAAAGCGACAATCTAGAAAACTTTAATTTAAAGCTCCCTTCCAGTCAGTTTTTTTTTTGTTCCTTCAGTGTGATGTTTGAATGAAGTACGTAAAGAGTTTTGATAGAAGGATGTTTTCACATTCATCAACACTGCGTTCTCTGAATGCAGGACTACTTGTGGTTCCTATAGTCTCTAAAAGTAGAACAGGAGCCAGACCCTTCAGTTACCAAGCTCCTCTCCTGTGGAACCAGCTTCCAGTTGTGGTTCGGGAGGCAGACACCCTCTCCACATTCAAGAGTAGGCTTAAGACATTCCTCTTTGATAAAGCTTATAGTTAGGGCTGGATCAGGTGAGTCCTGAACCATCCCTTAGTTATCCTGCTATAGGCCTAGACTATCGGGGGATTTCCCATGATGCACTGAGCTCCTCTCCTTCCTCTCTCTCTCTTTCTGCACTCATTCATGTCCCATTAATGCATGTTACTAACTTCACTTCTTCCCTGGAGTTCTTGTGCTTTCTCGTCTCGCAGGTTCTTATTGATCCTGGTGGAGCCTCCTGCCATGGTCCTGCTTGACTGTAGAAAGTCACACAACTCTTTGGCGACTACTTTCTCCAGAATCTTAGAGAGGAAGGGGAGGTTAGAGATTGGTCTATAGTTGGCTAAAACCCCTGGGTCAAGAGTGGGCTTTTTAAGAAGGGGTTTAATTACAGCTACTTTAAAGGACTGTGGTACATGTCCTGATAATAAAGAAAGATTAATCATATCCAGTAAAGAAGTGCCAATTAAGGGTACAACTTCTTTAAGCAGCCTAGTTGGGATCGGGTCTAATAGACAGGTTGATGGCTTTGATGAAGAAATGATTGAAGTTAACTGATGAAGATCGATAGCAGAAAAACAGTCTAAATATATATCTAAGTTTACATTAGCAAAAGTCCCTGAACTTGGAGAGCCACTGATAACTGTTGATGACAGTTGGTGATTAATTTTCTCTCTAATAGTAATAATTTTATTATAGAAGAAGCTCATGAAGTCATTGCTACTTAAGTTTATGGGGATATGTGGCTCAATAGAGCTGTGACTCTCTGTCAGCCTGGCGACAGTGCTGAAGAGGAACCTAGGGTTGTTCTTATTTTCTTCTATTAGTGCTGAGTAATAGGCTCCTCTGGCATTACGGAGGGCCTTTCTATGAGTTTTAAGATTATCTTGCCAAATTGAGCGATATTCTGATAATTTGGAAGAGCGCCATTTCCTTTCAGATTTCCTAGCTATTTGCTTTAACTGGCGGGTTTGGTGATTGTACCACGGTGCTAGTCTCCTATGTTTTAATAATTTCCTTTTTATAGGAGCGATAGAGTCTAATGTTGATCGTAGTGAGCCTGTAGCAATATCGACAAGATATCATTTTCAGAGGGACTAAAGTTGTTATAGGATTCTGTTAGATGTTAGATTCTAAAGATATGACTATATGTTGCTCAGCACATAGCATAGTGCAAAGCTCATAATTTTTTGTGTGGAAAAAAAACATATTGCAATATATATAAATATTGGAATACTTCAGTGAGTGGGCCATAGGCTTAATTACCATTGTGTTACCTAATTCGGTGATGATAGTGACTTAACCATAATTTATTTAAATGAAAATCTTTGAAATTGCCACTTCTCCTGAACCATCTGAAACTCAACTGTAGGTCAGTTCAAATGTATTCAGAAACTGTTATTCGTTTAGAGAAATTTGACATTTCTAGAACAGCCACCATGTTTTTCCAGTTTTAAAACCAGAAGCAAAGTTGTATCCATTCACTCCGCTGCAGAGAGGTGAATAGAGGCCCTGCAGTGCATTTCTGAAAAATTGACTTTGTCCCAAGCAAATGCCTACGCCCAGTGAGAAAGTGATAGTTGAGACTGATTTGCCAGGTTGTTGTTCCCCGACTTGGCAGACACAAAGATGTGTTAGAAGGGTGCCACAGCAGTTATCAACTTCACTAGAATTCCAGTATTAGCGATTAGATTTGGACGCAAGCCCAGAAATGTGAATTCTTGGGGAAACAAAAGATTTAGCTCAAAGAATACCTAATCTGACCTAACCCTCGCCATCATCTGGTCGAGACAGACGACCACCCACCTAGAGTCAAGGGGTCTGTCCTAAGTTTCTCCCTCTTAAAAGGACGTTTTTCCTTGCTGCCGTCACCAAGTGCTTGCTCATGGTGGGAACGGTTGGAAATTATTCAGTTTCAATTAAATTCAGTTTTATTTGTAAAGCGCCAATTCATAACAGAAGTTATCTCAGGACACTTTTCAAAGAGAGCAGGTCTAGACCGAACTCCTTATAGCATTATTTACAGAGACCCAACCGTTCCCACCATGAGCAAGACCTTGGCGATGGCGGCAAGGAAAAACTCGGACAGATTTCCCATGATGCTCTTGGCTGAGCGGCTGCCTGTGGAGGCTTAATGCTGGAGGATTTGGCGTCACCTTTGACCTTTTTAACTTTGGTTGAACGACCAGTTGGGGTGAGAGAGAGAGACAGAGAGAGAAACAGAGAGAGAGAGAGAGAGAGAGAGAGAGAGAGGAGAGAGAGAGAGAGAGAGAGAGAGAGAAAGAGAGAGAGAGAGAGAGAAACAGAGAGAGAGAGAGAGAGAGAGGGAGAGAGAGAGAGAGAGAGATGATGTACTGTTTGACAAAGTATTTAGCTTTTACTTTCATCCTTATAAATAACCACAATGACATATAACCTTTACCAGGCAGGGAGGGTCTAAAGAACACTATCGAGTTGTGCTGTGGAAAAAATGGAAAAAGACGTGGAGTGTGGGTGGACCTGAGGCAGGCTGAATGAAGCTGAAACCAGCCACCTGTGATGCCACCTGCCATGCTCTTAATTATGCATAACTTTAAGCCTTAATATAATTTTGGTGAGTTGTATAAGAATTAACCCCCCATACAATACAATTTCTTTGGTTATTTTGTATGTAGACCACCTTTGGAGGACTTGAAAGAATAAATAAGTATATAAGTTCCATGTAAGTATGGAAGCTTTAAATTACATTTGGCCAAGAAAGATATATAGTTATAGATAGAAAGATAAAATTGTGTGTCATTCGCAGGCTGTCAAATATAGATGCTAGATATGAGACTTAGCAGTCAACTGTCTTCAACCCAAAGCATCTATTTTTCTCGGCTCTGATTGGTTGTTTCCGTTCAGGCCTGGTGGATTCTTGTAAATACCATTAGGAGCACCAGGAGCCAGAGGAACCTGATTTCGTCACAGATTATCTGTCTCATGTACTACTGTCAGGATATAGAGAAAGTTTCAGCAAACATGACAAAAGGTTATTTTTATAAAAGTTACCTACTGCAGCCTTCATTCGTCGTTTAAACACTGAACAGGGACATTAAAATAGGAAATAGTAATTTAAAATGTAATCCATTTATACATTGATTATAATAAAATGCTGTAAAAGTCTGATGGCATGGCCCCCTCCAGGTTTCATAACACACGTGTAGGGACTGCAGCATCAGAACTACTACATGCAGGATATAAGTTGTAATTTGTTTGCCCTCTGGTGGTAATTATCAGCACATTTCAGCAAGCTACTGTACATGGCACGCTCTTATCTCGCGTGACTTAATATGCGCGCCTACTGTCAGAAAGACAAGTCGTCCTTGCATTGCTGGCATTGACATTTTGCCTCCACTGCACACTAAATAAAACAAACCGCCATCAATGATCTGCTGCCGCCACTGTACACACATAACCGAACCACAGAGAAAGCCATACATGAGCAAAGTGGCCACAGTCACACATTTCCACCGTTCCACATTGTGCGCGACACCGGAAGCTAGTGTACCTGAGAATACCTTGCATCTGTGCCCGCAGCGCTGCCTTACAGGCACATTACTTCGAATGAAGAGGAAACATGCCAAAGTCTGTGTGGCGGATACATACGCGAGGAATGTAGTAATGATACTTTGTTTACTTTTGTCAACGTGTTCACTTCATGGCTTTGTTTTCGGGGAAGAGTTAGCAGATATTCCTACGGCGCCTCCTGTAAGACAGAGCTGGGGGTGTAAAAGAGAAATGGGCAGGGATAGCGTTTCTATCATCTTTTGGTTTTCATGCTGGCAGAAGCTGCCACCCTTCTATCCTACTACCTAAAAACCCCCTGCCTGGGAAATGAATAGGAGACTATTAGAAACATGATATCTAATCCACACTTAACATAAGCAGATACTGTTATCATGGTGGCCGGCTAACGTTAGCTACGAAGCTAGGTTACTTGGACAATCCTTTCAACTTGCTTGCTGACAGGTTAGCTTACGACAGCTAACTTCGCTATGTGAACTAACTAAGCCAGGATAAAGAAACTCCCTGCAACTCTCTGGTTGGTGGACATTTTGAGTTTATGTCTTAAATGTAATTTTATTTATTAGCAGCAGATGCTGTTCGTTGCTTGTGTGGATGTTCCCAGACGTAGCTAACTTGCTATTAAATTGTAGTAGTGTTACTCAGCTAACGTTTGCTATAAAAGTTGCTAACTAGCCAGGTAGCTCACTGGGGCTGAATGCACAGGCAGATACCATTCTCGTAAAAGTAATTAACTTCATATCAGTAATTCCAGTAAATGAAGTGTATCAGGTACATACATAGGTTACCTAACAGGCCAGTATTGGGTTTTTTAGCCAAGGCATAGCTAGGTAAGCTAGACGTTAAAGCCTTCAGCTGTTATTTTATCAACAGTGTGACAAATACAGATGCATATAGTAGATTATAATGCTGCTTCATATATATATATATATATATGAAGCAGCATTATAAACTACTATATATATATATATAACATGATCTCTCTGAGGGTAGACTCATGGATTGCCTTTTGCAGCTATAACACGACTGACAGCAGATTTACAGCTATTGATGTTATTTTTTCACAATACCATAAGTCATTGTTACCGCTATTATTCAGCAACATATTCATGCTGGTTTATTACAAATTAGTCAGTGTGATACATTTGTTAAGCCATGACATTATAAATTAAAATAATGTCATGAATGCTTGTATTGATTAACTAGTTGTGAAACCAAAGTATTCAGCAAAGTCTGACATTTTTAAAACGGTAATTCTATTTTAGTCATTTATTTCCTGTGATTGATAAATTCACTAGTAATATTCATGGCTCAACAGTTAATCTAAATATTATTGAAAGGCACATCCAATAAAGGTAAAATGTGACAAACAGCATTATAATGAAGTATTATAATGAAGTACTGTAGTGCTGCAGAGATTCCCTGGCCTACAAATGTTGTTCTCCCGATGTAAAAACATGTTTGTTTGGTACAGACCCCAACAAATGTCAAATTATATCATTTAAATCATTTTTAAAAGTGAACCTACTAATGGTGAATTATGTCACCATTGCAATATCTAGAAAAATAATGGCAATTTTATTTTATTTATTTTTTTAATCATGTCATGCCGCTCTAGTTGTTGTTTGGCTCTCTATAAAAAGCTGTCATTCAGGGTGGTTCAAGAGATTTCAATGATGTAATACATACTGACTGGAGACATTTATTCAGTGAAGTAGTTGATACATAATGTAATACGTTGCATATATATTTGTATATATTTATATATTTTCAGTTAAACAACTTTAGAGATTAGAGACAACCAAACAGGTACCACACTGCAGGCTCCAAACATCCATGCACATCCATCTGTCATTCACCTCCTTTCTTCCTCTCCCTCTCTGTATCTCGCTGAACCTCACACACACATATATTAACAGCAGTCAACAAATTAACTCCAAAGAAGCCCACACACGGCTGTCATAAAAACATGGATTGGTGATGTCAGTCCGATATCAAATGTGTGAATTATCGGATTGGTCCCAACTGGGGATGCAACATGATTGATGATATGATTTTTGAAATAACAATTAGGCCGATGCTGATAGTTTTTTATTTATTCTTTTTTCTTTAAATGTATTTGCCCATTTGTGCCAGGGAAACAAAGAAAGCTACAAAGATAAGTGTCTCTGCCTTGTTGCAGCTCAGTCTATTTCTCTCTTTATCCAAGCTGAGAGACTCCGTGCTGCTGCATGGAGCACATCAGTATTTGCATGCAATTTGTGCCATTGCTAGGAAGTATTCTTTCTCCAATGTCAAAGTTGGAAATAACCAACACAACGTTAAGCTGGAGCAAAATTGATGGAAAACAATAGATAAACTTCTGCCACTGATATCGATGAATGCTATCTTATTTGCAGATAAGCTGATGTCAGTCAACAGGGCGAATATCAGCTGATACCGATGATCCAGCGATATAGGCCGAATGACTTCATACATTAAAGATGTCAGTATGTCTGCTGTGTTTTCCATGCACCTTCAGGGGTGTTCTAATGCACATGTAATACAGCGAGGGAAATGCCCCGAAACTCCTGAGAGGGGGAAGCAGTGATGTATAGTGGTACCAGGCACGGACCTCGGTGCAAGTAACTTAAAAAAGAATGGTGTCAGAAGAAAGTAGAATAGAATGAGGAAAGCTGGGTACTACAGAGGGAGAAGTGTGGAATGGGATAAAAGCAAAGACACACCTGAGTTAGGTTAACTGCTCTCAGTCTGTTTTGTATTTGGAATGAACAAATCTGGCCCAGCTGAAGGTTTTCCCCTAACTTATCAGATTACTACTACGGCTGCTTGAGGTACTCTTGTCATCTTGCATATAAATGAGGTGCTGAAGTAAGACCCTGTGTTGTTCTTGTAGGCGTTGCAGGTCGCTCTCATGTGCCCATGGAGAAGGCAGCCTTTGAGGGGTGGCTGGAGTCAGTCTCCGCCGCTTTCCTTACTCTGAATGACCAGCAGCGCAACCAGTCTCTGGACCACCTCATCTCTTTAAGTGGTGCTGTCCAGCTCCGTCATCTGTCCAATGGACTGGAGACGCTGCTCAAGCGCGACTTCCTGCGCCTTCTTCCCCTGGAGCTGGCCTTCTACCTGCTGCGCTGGCTAGATCCTCAGACCCTGCTCACCTGCTGCCTGGTCTGCAAACAGTGGAATAAGGTAAATACCATGCCTCTTTGTGTCTGGTAGTGTAGTTATGGGCGGCCTCTCATTTATCTTTTCCTTGTTTAGCTCACTTGCATCTTTTCCTCACATCTTAGTCCCTCTTGTGTGTGATGATGATTATTATTAGTATTATTATAAAATATTATATATAATACTAGTATTATTATTTTGAAAAAATTCTGAATGAAAATTTTGAAATTGGGACTAACTGAACAGCTGAAGTCAGCTACGTCATCCAATCACTGACAGATTTCTAATAAAGGCGTTTGTCAGTAGCATAAAAGATTTCAGGGAAACAGAAGTAAGAATAAGAATGTAATTCAGAGGGAAGGTGGGGGTCACAAGTATGTACAGTTGATGTTTTACAATGACTATACATGATTTCAGTTCTCAGTGATGCTACTGCACAAATGTCACAGTTTAGAACGTATACGCTTGCATTGGTGCATGTAAGATTCCTTTAAGTGTTAGTTTTCCTGGGTAACTTGAATTTACTTTTTTGATATTGACTTAAATTGCTGTAAAAGTGCTGTAAATTGTCTGGTTATATTTGTAATCTTATATACGTACTTAACATCAAGTCCATATTTGTTTTAAATCTGTCATCCGATTAAATTTGTTACACATATAAACCTCATGTGCTGAGTCCATTGCGTTTTATTATTCTATTCGGTCTATTCTATTCGCAAAATTCAAAACACGCAACAAATTGTCACGCAGTGAAGATGATTCTGTGTTCACTGGAAAGTAGACAAAGACAAAGTAATTGGGTCCAAGGTGTCAAGAACAAGAAGAGTCCCACCTGCGGATAAAGTAGCTGTCTGCTCCTGCTGTTGCTCTGACTCGAAAAAACATGTAAACATGATTGGCACAACATGAGGTTGTATTTACTTTTAAAACCTGTGACAGTTTCAGACAAAAAACACTTGGCTTTTATTGTTTGATCAGATGGTCCCTGGCCCCTTTTCAAAATAGGGTACCAAAATGTTTTTGGTGTTTTGTTTTGTTTTGCTCTTTGTAACTCAGCTTTTATATTTTTAGTTGTATTAAAAGTTACAGAGCTACAGGATGTTTTTATACCAATTGTTGAAAACTGTCATACAATGTATGTATTTCTTCTGATATGTGTATATATAATAATAAGAAGAAGAATTACTGATCATTAATTGAATGGAAGAAGGTAACCTGATATGATATTATAGGCAGAACCCAAAAATGATATTACAATAGTGTATAGCAGCTCACTTTTTCTAGTATTATTAGAACTTGTCATTCAACCACATTCCAACAAGCGTCCGTCTCCTTATAGGTGATCAGCTCATGCACAGAGGTATGGCAGGGTGTGTGTCGGGAGCTGGGCTGGAGGATCGATGAGTCCATTCAGGATGCGACGCACTGGAAGGGGGTCTACCTGAAGGCTAAACTGCGCATGATGCAGCTGAACGACCAGGAGGCCTTTGAGACATCGTCCCTCATTGGCCACAGTGCTCGAGTATACGCCCTCTACTATAAGGACGGCCTTCTCTGTACAGGTACACTGTGGCTCTGCCTTTTGTTCTGATCTGATCTGTGTGTTTTTCTCAGTGTTGGTGTGTTGAATATATATGAAAGAAAACACCACACTGTTTCAAGTGGGTTATTTCTTATTTCAAGATTTTAATTCTATTGAATTCTCCACCTTATTTTAGTGTTTACTCATAAACTATTTTAATGTGTATCTCAATCCCACAATGCTGTATACTGTACCTGATTTGGTGTTGACGATGTCAAAATCCAAACAGTTATTTTTCACATTATGCATAATAGAAAAAGATTTATCATGGTGGGCTTTTATAGTCCAGTAGTCTTTTTTGTAGAGCACATTGAGCTGGATTTATAGTGTGAGGGGTGTGGCCTTTGCAAAACAGGTTTTACATGTGTCATGGAAAATTGGGAAATCTTGGAAAATGAGAGGCTAGTTTTCCAGTCATGGAAACATGACAAATTGATTAATATGACCAAATATTCTTGAAACAATCTATGTTGTCCTTGCTTGGTAGTCTATGCTGTGGAAAACTGTAGTCAGTTAAGAAAGTGGAAAAATTGGCTTGCCAAGTGTGTGTTAGCTATCATTTAAGGGAGTGCCCCTTAAATGTTGACCACCTACCGCTGACCACCATTTTGTGCTGTCCTGTATTGTCCAGAAAAAGTCCTAGAAAAAGTCCTGGAAATCGTTTTCTTAAAGAATGGGAACGCCCGGATAGCTCACCTGGTAGAGCTGGGGCGGCTGTGGCTCAGAGGTAGAGCGGGTCGTCCACTAATCGGAAGGTTGGTAGTTTGATCCCCGGCTCCTCTCGCTGCATGTCGAAGTGTCCTTGAGCAAGACATGACTGTATGAATGATTAGTTTCTGGTGAGCAGTTGGCACCTTGCATGGCAGCCACTGCCATCAGAGTATGAAGGTGAGTGTGGCATGTGGTGCACATTGAGTGGTCGAAAGACTAGAAAGTACAGTCCATTTACCATTTACCATGTACCACGGCTGAGTGCTTGCTGCAGCAGCCCAGGGTTCAAGTCTGACCTTTGGCCCTTTGCTGTATGTCATCCCCTCTCTTAACCCCATTTCCTGTCTATCTTCAGCTGTCCTATCCAATAAAGAGAAACAGCCCAAAAATAATATTTAAAAAAATATATATATACATTTTTGGGTGTCAATTATGATGCCACCATCGAGCTGAGGGTTAGGGGTTATGGTTAGGGTTCTTTTGGGAAGCACGAGCACATCATTAAGGGGCGGCTGTGGCTCAGAGGAAGAGCGGGTTGTCTACTAATTGTAAGGTTGTTGGTTCGATCCTCGGCTCCTCCTGTCACATGTTGAAGTATCCTTGAGCAAGATACTGAACCCTGAATTGCTTCTGATGTTTTGCATTGGTGTGTAACTGAAGGCTCTGGCTCCTGTTCTACTTTTAGAGACTATAGGAACCACAAGTAGCCCAGCATTCAGAGAACGTAGTGTTCTAGTGGGGTAATAGGGTACTATGAGCTCTTTAAGATGCCCCTTCAGGGTTTGAAATCTAAAATGCTAAAATGGGTTGCCAAATATACATGGTTCCCATGTATCCTGGAAGACTATGTTGTCCTGAAAGATGTTTTAATTGTATTTTAGCCCCTTAGATCTATGCCTCAGATTGCCTATGTATTTTATTTGAAACTTGACTGGTATGATAACTTGCGTGGTATGATACTTCAAAGCGGCTTTACCAGACGTGAAATGAACCTCCAATATTTGAATTTTCTGTAAAATAAAATGAATTCTACTTAAATTGTTACTTATGGGCTGTGGCCAAAGTAATGTTACAGTCAGAGGGACACTATAGTAAAATGTAGTCAATACGCTGGAAGAGTACGCAGTGGAAAACTGTCTATGCAAAGCAGTAGGTTGCACAGACGGTGTGGGTGTCTGCTGGGTGAAGGAACGTAGTTCAGAGGGTGTGGTGATTCATAAATACACTCTCAGGGGCAAGCCCAGCCCAGCCCTCCGGTCTAACAAGCAGAGGACGGAGACAGAAGCTAGATAACAGCAAAAGCATAGGATTTTCATTTGCTTACTTTCTGTCTCTGATTGTTTCTATCTGACATATTATAAAACTCAAGGTAGACAGACACGGCTAGAACAAGCTCCTCCTCTATTTTCTTGGTTACCAGGGTGATGAGTCATTGCTGCAAGTATTTAGTTTGTTCATGGCAGCAAAGTGAAACAGACACAGTCATGAGACCTTTTTCATTAAGGGATCCCTTTTCTATCATTGAGCAAACTGACTATGTGATATATTTTATGGATATTTCATATTATATTTAATAATAACAATAACAGCAGAGAACCACTGACGAACTGTACAATGACCCCAAACAGTGAACACAATAACTGCAGGAAGTTTGTGTAAAACCAGAGATTTGGATGAATTTTGAGCAGATTATTTCCTGTTAATAGTTTTACTGATATTTTTAGGAACTTTTTTATTTAATTCTTTGTCTGTGTTATGTATGTTTTTATTTTAAACAATCATACATACTATCTAAACTGTCTAAACTTAAAGATTAATTTAGTTTCCTTCAGAGAAGTGAACTAAATGGGCCTACAGTGTATATTTAAGTTTTCTTACACCCCTTAAAATCTACTAACCTTGCCCCCAGGTTGGAAAACTACTGGTGTAAAACACTTTCTCAACTATGATTTGTCATCATATCAGAATTTTTAAACTTCGATACAGTACAGTACTAGCATTTAGTTTTTTGCACACAGTGCTGCTACGGGAAGATATCACTGAACACATATTAAAGTTGTTTTTCATCCCTGTTGTTTCATCTGTGCACCCTTGGGTTGAAGAAATCTGATTGTATTGTATCTGTTTTTCTTCTAGCTCGTATGGTTCTTTAGATTCTATTAAAGGTATAACTAACAGAGATTGAATAGATTGAAACACATATTGAAAAAGTATTGACACTTTTGACAACCTCGCTGTTTTTAAGCTGCCTCACTTCCAATGAAACTGAATGAATGGTTTGTTCCTCTCACAGACGAACACATTACTGGTTGCTTCACCTGCTTGCTTTTTGTGGTTATAAACAGAACTTTTTCTAGTTCTCCCATTGAAGCAATCTACAGACAGAAGGGAAACAATGGGGAATTAAAGAGACAGTCAGCTGATACGTGCCTTCTCCTGCTGATTTTGTACAAAAAATATTCAGCGCTCTGCTAGGGATACATTCTTATTCTTAGTGCTCTGATGAATAATGTATTCTTTCAGTTTGAAACAGTAGCAGTTATATTAAGCCTTTCTGAAACTGTTGCATTGTTAAATCAATACATATTATTTTATGAATCCTGGCACCTGGCCTTCAGGCGGGCAAATTTCAAGGTCAGGAAAATACCAAACTGTTGGAGCGAACTGCTGCTACAATAGTGCCTCTTGGAGTTTGGTGACCTCTGCCAAATCCTTTTGTTGCAGCTAGCCTCAATCTGAGCAGAGTTCCAATCTGCCAGAACAAATGAAAACACTGTGTGGGTGTTTGTGAATAGCTGTAACCTTCCTACATCATGGTCATTTGTTATCACACTCTGTATTCAGCACTGCTGTTAGGCACAGCACTGTCCAAAAGAAGTCATGCTGCAGTTCCATACTACATACTAACAGGGTTCTTACAGCAGTGTTTCCTCTATGTTGATTCTGGAGCGGCGGCCCACCGCTGTTAAATATCTGCCGCCACGGTATCAGAAATGGGGCAGACGCACAATGTAGTCACGGTTGCCTTTTAAATGATCCTGCCGACATAACGCACCCCCGTTGGCTGCCGTTCGGACAGGCCTGCCCCCACTGCTAAAAAAAAATCTTTAACAGTTATGTTTTCAAGGTTAAGATGTTACAAATATACTTTCAACATAACCTGCTGTTTTATCAACACAATCATGCAAACCAAAAAACTTTTGATGTTTGAAATGAAATGACGCCGTCATCATATTTGTCTGTTGTCTCCTGGTTCACTCGTCATTCATTGCTAGATAAGTCCCTTACTTATCTGGCTTACTCTTACTCGGAAATTAGCGAGTATTAAATAATCATGATCAAAGCATGCAATCAAAGTTAATATCGTCAGCTTGGCAAATAAACAGAGTGACAGTATACGTTGGTTGCTGTGGGTGTAAAGGAATTCTATAAACTTTAATAATTGTATTTATAGTAATAATTTAGATGTGAGGATTATGGCTGATTTGTAAAGTGCTTCAGTTTTACTATTATAAATCTGTACGAACCCTGAGGAGTGACGCATACGGTATCCATATCTGTATTCAGTTCAATAAAATTTTATTTATATAGTGCCAATTCATAACAGAAGTTATCTCAGGACACTTTTCAAATAGAGCAGGTCTAGACCGAACTCCTTATAACATTATTTACAGAGACCCAACAGTACCACCATGAGCAAGACCTTTGTGACAGTGGCAAGGAAAAACTTCCTTTTAAGAGGCAGAAACCTAGGACAGACCCTTCGGCTCTAGGTGGGTGGTCGTCTGTCTCGACCAGTTGGGGTGAGACAGACAGACAGACAGACAGACAGATGATGGGGGACAACGAGCAGCGACTACAGCAACAATAGCAACCGTAGCAATAATAGCACTAATATCAGTGATATTAGCAATGGCAGTCAAGCAGGACCATGGCAGGAGGCTCCACCAGGATCCATGAGAACCTGCGAGACGAGAAAGCACAAGAACTCCGAGAAAGAAGTGAAGTTAGTAACATGCATTAATGGGACATGAATGAGTGCAGAAAGAGAGAGAGAGGAAGAGAGGAGCTCAGTGCACCATGGGAAATCCCCCGATAGTCTAGGCCTATAGCAGCATAACTAAGGGATGGTTCAGGACTCACCTGATCCAGCCCTAACTATAAGCTTTATCAAAGAGGAATGTCTTAAGCCTACTCTTGAATGTGGTGAGGGTGTCTGCCTCCCGAACCACAACTGGAAGCTGGTTCCACAGGAGAGGAGCTTGGTAACTGAAGGCTCTGGCTCCTGTTCTACTTTTAGAGACTATAGGAACCACAAGTAGCCCAGCATTCAGAGAACGTAGTGTTCTAGAGGGGTAGTAGGGTACTATGAGCTCTTTAAGATATGAAGGGGCCTGACCATGAAGAGCTTTATAGGTGAGGAGGAGGATTTTAAATTCTATTCTACATTTTACAGGGAGCCAGTGCAGAGAAGCTAGTACAGGAGAGATGTGATCTCTTTTTCTAGTTCCTGTCAGTACTCGTGCTGCAGCGTTCTGAATTAATTGGAGCGTCTTAATGGACTTATTGGGGCAATATCAATATCAATTCCAATATAGATGCACTTAACCCCTGTAGTTTGGCCAAGAACGCATAGCTTGAACATGGGCCAGATGGATTCTCATGTGAGCTTGTGAGTCCAGACCAGCTGCCTTATTTTCTCTCAATCCACATATGTGAAACACTACTATCCAGAAACATGCCTACAGTACTTCCTTTACCACAGGGTTTAAAATAAGTGTTTGACCCACATCTGGGTGGGGTATTGTGGAGCGGTGTCAGAGCTTACAGCGTTAACATTGATCTCCTCTTGTTCTGCAGGATCTGATGACCTGTCTGCCAAATTATGGGATGTGCGAACTGGGCAGTGCATTTATGGAATTCAGACACACACGTGCGCCACAGTGAAGTTTGACGAACAGAAGCTGGTGACTGGGTCCTTCGACAACACTATTGCATGCTGGGAATGGAGCTCGGGGGCTAAAATCCAGCAGTTCCGTGGCCACACAGGAGCAGGTTGGTGTTCTGGATTACTTAATATTATTATTTAGTAATATGTCAAGGCAAGCAGAACTTTATTCATATTATAGCACATTGATTTGCATTCCAGGGTGGGTTACTAGAGCTGCAGTGATTAGTCAACTCGTGGATTAATTGCCAACTATTTTAATAATCAATTTAATTATTTTGAGTATTTTTTAAGAAAAACTGTCCAAATTCTCTGATTCTCTCCAATGTGAATATGTTCAGCTTTCTTTAGTCCTCTATGACAGTAAACTGAATGTCTTTGGGTTGTGGACAAAACAAGACATTTGAGGATGTCATCTTGAGCTTTGGGAAACACTGATCAACATTTGTTTTAATTCAATTCAATTCAATTCAATTCAATTTTATTTGTATAGCGCCAATTCATAACAGAAGTTATCTCAGGACACTTTTCAAATAGAGAAGGTCTAGACCGAACTCCTTATAACATATACAGAGACCCAACAGTACCACCATGAGCAAGCACTTGGCGACAAGGGCAAGGAAAAACTGCCTGTTAAAAGGCAGAAACCTAGGACAGATCCTTCGGCTCTAGGTGGGTGGTCGTCTGCCTTACCATTTTTCAACATTTTATGGACCAAATAACTAGAGGTGTGAATTGTCACTGATCTCCCGATTCGATTCGATTACGGTTATCACGTCTTCGATTCGATTCCTCGATGCATCACGATGCATCACGATGCTTCAAATACATTTTTCTATTAAAGCCATATAAGATATTTGACTTGACAGAATACATTAAGATACTGTATAGTTCAATATAATACAGTTTTCTATATTACTTCATATGGTTGTTTTCATCCAAAAATACAAGTAGTAAGATATAAACAATCTTTTTTATTTAACAGTGTGAACACACACACACACACACACACACACACACACGTACGTCTCCCGATCGTGTCATTGGACAGAGGGACAGTATTCAGTGTCTCAGCACTTTTCTCACCTATGATTGTGACCATGTCCAATGCTGCCAGAGTATTAGCTCCTCTGCTATTGTGTGATGGTTTTTTGCACCTTGCGATGTGGCGGTGTTTGTCCGAGGCTAACAGTGCGTTTTTATTTACTGATGCCGCGCTCACTAAATGACCGGCCTGTTGGCGATACGCATCGAGTATCCGGTGAAAAAAGTCCAGTGGCTTATTGACATAACTGGGGTGTAAGGTCTCCAGGTGCCGTCTTCATTTGTTTGGTTTCATGCTGTCCGCTGCCAGAGTTTTTAAACATAAAACACACACAGGTCTTTCCTCATTTCCGACCGTATTCACGGTAAACTTAAAGGCTATGTTGGCTTCGTCGTATTTCCTGCTCTTATTAGGTGTATGCCGGTTACCGTCACTTGCTGTTCTTGCCTCTGACGTCTCCTCCGTTTTTCTTTTTACTCCTGTCAGAAACTTCTCCATCTCTCCTCCTCCGTCAGTCCCCCCTGCCTGTCGCGCCCCACTATGTGAGAAGTACTGGTCTAGATGAAACGGGTTAGGCTACTGAGAATGTTATTTTTCATTTGAATGTTTATGCCGCGGCCGGAAAATTAACGAGCAACATTGCGTTATAATCGATTATAGCCGGCCACTGCATCGATGCAGCATCGTCCATGTCTGCATCATGATGCATCGATTATTTGATTAATTTCAACACCTCTACAAATAACTAATGTATTCATTGAGAAAATGATTGACAGATTAATCACTAATGAATATAATTGTTATTTGCAGCTCTAGTAGTTACAGTGTTCAATATAAATGTCTATAAAAGTACAGATACATAGTGTATTAACAAAACTACCAATTAACCAAATGCAGTTAAAATGAAACTTGAAGCTTGGACCCTAAACTCAACAAACTCTTCTTTGTTGGCATAAATTCTAGCTGCATTAAGTTCGACTGTATCATTTATAAACTTGAAAAGTGAAATATGTGTGTTTTTGGGATGCAACTTCCAAATGTGTTATGTTTTTTATATTTGTACAACTTCCCAAAGCTTAAAATACAAGAATAACTTGTGTCTGCTCAGTGTTCAGCGTGGACTACAACGATGAGCTGGACTTGCTGGTCAGCGGCTCTGCAGACTTCTCCGTGAAGGTCTGGGCTCTGTCTGCTGGTGCCTGTCTCAACACCCTGACCGGACACACCGAGTGGGTCACCAAGGTCAGCTAACCCCTCCCATTCAGGTTTCCTTGTTGTTGATGCATTGTTATTTCCATAACTGTAAATATGTTGGCACATTATTATTCAGTATTGAAATGTCAGTAATTTGATTACCAGTTAATCCAGTAAACTGACATGATCAGAGTGTGTGTTTTGAAACGTGTCTTTTGTTGTTGTCTACCATCAGGTGATACTACAGAAAAGTGAAGTAGAATCTATGGTGCACAGTCCTGGTGATCATATCCTCCTCAGTGCTGATAAGTATGAAATTAAGGTAATACTCCTGTCTCCAGCAGCTTCTTGTTGTGTCAGAAGGGATAGACCAATTATTGGCCTGGCCCATTATCAGATCCCATATGCAGCATTTTTACAATTAATGGAATCGTTATTTTCTTAATAATTAATATATAACAATACATAATGTATGTATGTAGGGATGCACATTATAGATTTTTTTCCAGCCGATACAATAACCAATTATTAATTAAGTTTAGTGGACATTGGACATTGTACACTGAAGTTCTATCTGTGTTATGGCCAATCGGCACACCATGGACACGCCCTTCAACATACGTGTAGAAATAGCACAACTTTTAATCAGCAACATACTTCGACTGTACTGACGAATTTTGAAGCAGATCCGATGAATTCCCTAGGAGGAGTTCGTTCAAATACAACACGAAAAATCACAGAAAATGCCAAAAAAAATCAAAATGGCTGAATCTGATGCCACGCCACAGACACGCCCTTTAATGTACATGCACAAATAGCACAATTTTTAATCAGCAACATTTTTTATCTGTACAGACCAATTTTGAAGTATATCAGATGAATTCCCTAGGAGGAGTTTGTTCAAATACAACGCAAAAAATCGCCGAAAATGGCTGCGAAATTCAATGTGGCCGAATTTGACGCCACGGACATGCCATTCAACATACAGTCACAAATAGCACAACTTTTATTCAGCAAGTTTTTTTGACTGTACTGACCAATTTTGAAGTAGATCCGATATATTCCCTAGGAGGAGATTGTTCAAATACAAGGCGAAAAATTCACCAAAAATGGCCACGGAATTCAAAATGGCCAACTTTGACGGCACGCCACAGACACGCCCTTCAACGTACATGCACAAATAGTACAACTATTAATCAACAACATACTTTGACTCTACTGACTGATTTTGAAGCAGATCCGATGAATTCCTTAGGAGGAGGAATTCCAATACAAGGCGAAAATTTCGCCGAAAGTGAAAGTGACAATCAAAAAGGCCGACTTCCCGTGGGGTTTGGGGTATGGGTCCAAGAGGCTTTTCTGTAGGTCTCGGCAAGTTACAGGTGTCTACTGAGTTTCATACATATCGGTGAAACGTGGGGCCGGGGCTGCTTTTTTAAAATCCTGTAGGGGGTGCTACAAACACGACAAACTTGATTTTTGGTATGTGAGCTACAGGCACCACTCTACACATGCCCTGTGAATTTCATATTCATAACTCTTACGGTCTCCGCACAGTGATTTACCATGCCACCAGAGCGCCACCTAGTGGAGGATTGTTGACACATCTTTTAGCGAGCCTCAGGGAGCCATGGGCAATCATCGCACCAAGTTTCATTTTAATCACACGTGCCGATGCGGAGATATAAACTTCTTAATTTTAAAGAGCGCCACCTTGTGGCGAATGCCTGAAATTGTGCACGATGCCTAAGGAAGACATGTGGAACTATGGACCCAAGCTTGGTGTCAATCGGACATACCAATGTGGAGAAATGGTCTACTTCCTTTTTTGACAAAAAATGTACAGGAAGTGCTAATTTTATAACGTGCTTATTTTTTTAAATATCAATTCTTCGAATGACTTTTTTGCCAAGACGGTCCCCAGATGCTACGTGAAAAATTTTGTGCGAATCGGACAAAGCGCATAGGAGGAACACGAAAAAGTAGTTCGAGGCGGAAGTGGCAGTGGCCTATATGGGGAGATTGAGCTCCATTGACCGAACGCGTGGATACAAGGTTTATGAATGTGCGACAAACTACGCAGAAGTTATTAGCCTAAACACACTTTTTATGATAGTAGGGCCACCTAGTGGCCAACCCAAAAGCAAGGCATAGAATATAACATTTTTCACCACGACTGACATGTGCGCTGCGTTTCATGAGTTTTTGAGCATGGGAAAGCCTCCAAATATGCGATTTAAAAGTTACTAAAATAAGAATCCTTCCAATTACAATAGGGTCTTCGCACGGTCAGTGCTCGGGCCCTAATAATTACCTCCTCATGGCTGATATGAGATATAAAAAAAGTTCATGACCTGCAGTTTAATGACACCTGAGGGTAAGAAAGGCTAAGATGTAGAGAGCAAAGATGGATGGATTAATTTTCCATCTGTGTTCTAACCAAATGTAACTGATTGTTTACACAACAACAACAACAAACAACAGTTTGAACTCTTCAAATGTTCATTTATGTTTTCTAGGAAAGAAAATCTAAAAATGTCACAAACATACTTAGGCTTTCATAAAACCAATCATCAACCAATCATTTTGCACAAGATTTTAAATAAAATTATTATTATTATTATTATTATTATTATTATCATTATTATCATTATTATTATTATTAGGGAGCAATAATTTAATTATCAGAATAATACCTTCCCATTCCCCCAAATTATTATGCATCTGTAATATGAACTTTTGTATTCATAAGGTGAATGTGTAAAGTAACGGAAGTGGAATGAACAGTTGAATATCTGCCTCCAAAATGTAGTGGAGTGGAAGTATAAAGTAGCATAAGGTGGGAATACTCAGTTTTAGTAAATATATTTTCACTCCACCAAATAGCGGCTGTGGCTCAGGAGGTAGAGTGGGTTGTCCAGTAATCTGAAGGTTGCATGTCAAAGTGTCCTTGAGCAAGATACAAAACCCCAAATTGCTCCAACTGCTGTTTGTGAAAGCACTTCATTTGTGGTTTGCTGCAGCCTCTGCCATCAGTGTGTGAATGTGTCTGAATGAATGTGACGTGTAGTGTGATTCGCTTGGTCAGAAGACTAAAAAGGCGCTATATAAGTACAAACCATTTCCCATTGTTTATTCTAAAAGTTCAGAGTTAAGAGTTTTATTTTTACTTCAAATAGATATTGGTTATTGGTTTCCATAGTTACTAATGATGGCTATCTGTACCAGCCCTCAAAGCCCTATCAGTCAATCCCTAGTTTTCCATTTTGAAGAGTAAGGAAGCTTCTATCATTGTTTTGGCATTGTTTGTCCTGTGTGATCCTCTGCATGTGAAGAGTCCCTAAGACGGAGCTGTGTCCCCTCTGCAGGTCTGGCCTTTAGGGAGAGAAATAAACTGTAAGTGTCTGAAGACGCTGTCGGTGTCAGAGGACCGCAGCATCAGCCTCCAGCCTCGCCTGCAGTTTGACGGACGCTACATCGTCTGCAGCTCTGACCTCGGAGTGTACCAGTGGGACTTTGCCAGTTTTGAGATTCTCAGGTAAAATGGTGCACATGATGCTAAAGCTGCTCTTCAAAGAAAGTATTAGATGCACAAGTAAGAAGCTCAGTGTATCTATAGTCAGTGTGTCTGTTACCTGCAGTAGATGGCGGTCAGTGCGCACAGTTTGCAGAAGCAGAGCGATGCACTGCTGTGGCATGTATTGTAGCCTCATAAAAACAGCCCACCTCAGATACGCCACATTAAGAATATTTTCACTGCTTTACCTCGCCATCAGGCATGCTGTTTCTTTGGCACCAAGTTAGAAATTCTGTATGCCTACGCATACTGTAAGCCCAACTGTGCCTCACACTCTGTTACGCACTGTATATACACAAAGAAAAGATACACTCCTCAGAACTCCCCAAGGCTATTCCAGTTCTTCAATTCTGATTTTAGATTTATTCTTTCCATTTCTCAAATGCTGTTTAGATGAAGCTGGAGTAAGTTTTCACCAGTTCCTTATTATCTCGTTCATAGCTGCGATTCTACGTATCCCATACAGGCATCTGTCTATTTCTAATGTGAGTTCAGGTGGTGGTGTGCCTAAAATAATACATTTTTGTTCAAATACCTGTTTAATTTCTGCCACAGCTTCTCCAACAGTCTGGTTTGATTGATATTGTTGATATTGTACATTTTGACTGTTGTGTGTTACATCAGACAAAACTCTACACATGTAAAACAGATATAACAAGTTTAGCTATTTTTTTTCCTTACAGTTTGCTTTGAATCATGGGTTTAGACAAGAAAATATTATTATATAATCAGACAGTATGATCAAACAGCTGGTCGCACTCCTAATCCAGCATTTTTTTTATGATCCCAGGGTGATAAAAACGCAGGACCCAGCTAACCTGTCCCTGCTCAGCTTTGGCGAGGTGTTCGCACTACTTTTCGACAACCACTTCCTGTACGTGATGGACCTGAGGACAGAGGCCATCTCGGGCCGCTGGCCTCTACCGGCCTACAGAAAATCCAAACGAGGATCCAGCTTCCTGGCCGGCGTGACGTCCTGGCTCAACGGCCTGGACGGGGGCAATGACTCTGGACTAGTGTTTGCCACCAGCATGCCGGACCATAGCATTCACTTAGTACTGTGGAAAGAGAACGGATAGAAGCGAGCCAAGGACTCTGATCCCCACACTGCTAGGATACGGGCCGCAATCATGTGTGGCTCTGGAATATATGAACTTTAACAGCCAAGATAGATCATGCATGGACCAAAGCATTTTGTTTTTATCTGTTTCTTCCTCAGCATACAGTCCTCCTCTACACAGAAACTTTCACAGATGGAAATGGAAGGCAAACCACGAAGATGACATTACTGATCAGCACTTGCTCCTGATTTCTGCAGAAACCTGTAAACCTCTCACTGGTCTTGGTCAAGGACAAAGAAAGACTTCTTGAAATTCAAGATGTGTCAGTGACAACAAAAAAATGGCATCAAAGGTTCCAAAATAAAAACTATAGAAATTCTCTTGTAACAGACTTTATCATGGAAGTGTTTCTGTCAGATTTGCTCCCTGATCAGTTTAGCATTGTGCGTTCACACTTGTAGCCAACCTTTAATCCGTATTCTTTTAACCGGGTGCCAACTTTGGCCACCAACTTTTTCTTACCAGGGTGAGACTACGTCAGACGTGCTGTAGCTAGAACATGGCCGATGCCAGGCTGATCACTGAACAGATTTGCCAAAAACATTGGTTTCCTTGAAGAAAAGCAGGGTTGCCTTAAAACACAGTCACTGTCAATAATGGAGGACATCTCCTCTGACGTCAGATCAGACCCCCCCACACAGCTGTATACTGAATCGTATGTTGAAAAGTGGTTCGGTACATTGTTGTGTACCACGTAAAACATTGTAAGGTTTCATGTAATTCACTGAATATACTTTTCTAAGGGATGTCTGGTTTAAATGTCAGCTTGAGAAATGTGACGTGCCTTTTCAGTTCATTTGATGTTACAAACTAGAATTCCTTGAGAACTCTGGCACACTGCAGTAAGGTGATGACTGCATTGTAAATCTTAACTTTTATGTTGAATTTTTCATATTTACTGTGCTTTAACAGTCTCTAAGATGTCTGTAATTTTATAGTTATCTACCTGACATGACTTGCTCAGTGAATTGCTTTTATGAATCATTGACTGTGTAAAACATCAGGTTTATTTTTCTAAACGCCTCAATGCATTGCACAGCTGAGGTAGTGACTTGGAAAGCAGTCGGTCCTGCGCGTAATTACTATTTTAGACTTTAAAGAACATTTGAATAGATGTTTTTCTGGTATAACCAGAGAGACCATGTGGAATCATCCCTCGTTTTAACTTCATGTCTCAACCTGGTTTTCTACAACACTGAAACTTTAAAGCTGCTGTAGGTAACTTTTATAAAATTAACTTTTTGTCATATTTGCTGAAACTTTCACTTTATTCTGACAGTAGTTCATGAGACAGATAATCTGTGAAATAATCAGGTTCCTCTGGCTCCTCCTAGTGCTCCTAATGGTATTTACAAGAATCCAGTGGGCCCGAACAATAACAACCAATCAGAGGCGACAAAGATAGAAAGATTAGAGGCTTGAAGATGGTTGATGGTTGAGACTCATTGCCATGGTCCTAAAGCGTCTGTATTAGACGTCCTGGGAATGAGGCTCGACAATCAGCTTTCACAGATTATCTGTTTTATGTATTGCTGTCAGGATACAGTAAAAAACCTACTGCAGCTTTAAACAAGAATGAGTGCTTATTCCCAGAATTCTCATTGATGTCTTCCTTTGCATTAGGCAGGCCAGAGCATGGATTGAAATGTATTCACCAAACCACAGTTATTACTACAGATGAGTTTGTTCTTGCATACACAGACCGTAACCTGTTTGTCACATGGATAATTGTACACAGCAGATGTACAGACTGTTCTTAGTTTAGGTTTTTCAAATCTAATTAAAACACCACCAATATACTGTATTCTGTACTGTTGTCTGACCATTGCACCACATTGTATCGTCCCAGCAGCATTCAGTTCAAATTGGACATGCAGTCATATGATTTGTATATACAGTGATGAATTGAAACTGGCCAGCAGAAATGTGAAATTGGACATTTTTGTTGTATCTCTTCAGAGTTAATTGCCATTGCATTCAAGCTCTGCACAGTGTTATTTCACACATTCATCTATTGCATCGTCATAGCTCTTTGGTCACTTGCATCAATCTACAATCAGCTTCAATATTGCAATCTTTCAAATAAATAAAAGTAGCAAATGCACCAAGTTGTGTCTGTGTATTTTAAAATGTGAGCCAACATCATGTGCATGATGCATGTCTTAGCAGCAGCTTAAGGAATGACAGTGGTTCCAGATACCCACAGAACTACTGACATTCCCACTATCTTTAGTTATACTAGTACCGTGTACTAGTGCTATTTAGTAAATGTAACTATTTTCCCCATGATAAGATGAACACATTGTGTGTAAACCTTCCTACCTTCCTTAATGCATTAAAGCTGCAGTAAGTAACTTTTGGTCATATTTGCTGAAACTTTCACTATATACATGAGACAGATAATCTGTTAAACAATCAGGTTTCTCTGGCTCCTCCTAGTGCTCCTAATGGCAAAAAGAATCCACTGGCCCGAACAAAAACAATTCAATTCAGTTCAATTTTATTTGTATAGCGTCAATTCCTAACAGAAGTTATCTCAGGACACTTTTCAAATAGAGCAGGTCTAGACCGAACTCCTTATAACATTAATTACAGAGACCCAACAGTACCACCATGAGCAAGACCTTGGCGACAAGGGCAAGGAAAAACTGCCTGTTAAAAGGCAGAAACCTAGGACAGATCCTTCGGCTCTAGGTGGGTGGTCGTCTGTCTCGACCAGTTGGGGTGAGAGAGAGAGAGACAGACAGACAGACAGACAGGTGCACAGCAACAACAGTATTGGTAATGGCAATCTAGCAGGACCATGGCAGGAGGCTCCACCAGGATCGACAAGAACCTGCGAGACGAGAAAACACAAGAACTCCAGGGAAGAAGTGAAGTTAGTAACATGCATTAATGGGACATGAATGAGTGCAGAAAGAGAGAGGAAGAGAGGAGCTCAGTGCACCATGGGAAATCCCCCGATAGTCTAGGCCTATAGCAGCATAACTAAGGGATGGTTCAGGACTCACCTGATCCAGCCCTAACTATAAGCTTTATCAAAGAGGAATGTCTTAAGCCTACTCTTGAATGTGGAGAGGGTGTCTGCCTCCCGAACCACAACTGGAAGCTGGTTCCACAGGAGAGGAGCTTGGTAACTGAAGGCTCTGGCTCCTGTTCTACTTTTAGAGACTATAGGAACCACAAGTAGCCCTGCATTCAGAGAACGTAGTGTTCTAGAGGGGTAATAGGGTACTATGAGCTCTTTAAGATATGAAGGGGCCTGACCATGAAGAGCTTTATAGGTGAGGAGGAGAATTTTAAATTCTATTTTACATTTTAAAGGGGGGGCCAGTGCAGAGAAGCTAGGACAGGAGAGATGTGATCTCTTTTTCTAGTTCCTGTCAGTACTTGTGCTGCAGCGTTTTGAATTAATTGGAGCGTTTTAATGGACTTATTGGGGCAACCTGATAATAAAGAGTTGCAGTAATCCAGCCTTGAAGTAACAAATGCATGGATTAGTTTTTCTGCATCTGTCTGTGATAGTATGTGTCTAATTTTTGTAATATTACGTAAATGAAAGAAGGCAGTCCTAGAGGTCTGCTTTATGTGGGAGTTAAAAGACAAATCCTGATCAAAGATAACTCCAAGATTCCTGACAGTGGTGCTAGAGGCCAAGGTAATGCCATCTAGAGTAACTATATCTTTAGAAAGTGAGTCTCTAAGGTTTTTGGGGCCAAGTACAAGAATTTAATTTTTTTCTGAGTTTAACATCAGAAAATTGCAGCTCATCCAGGATTTTATGTCCGTAAGACATGTTTGTAATTTAGATAATTGATTAATTTCATCGGGCTTGATCGATAGATATAACTGCGTATCATCTGCATAACAGTGAAAGTTAATGGAGTGATTCCTAATAATGTTGCCTAAAGGGAGCATATATAAAGTAAATAGTATTGGTCCAAGTACAGAACCTTGTGGAACTCCATGACTAACTGTAGTATTTATTGAAGATTCATTGTTAACATGTACAAACTGTGAACGATCTGATAAATATGACTTAAACCAGCTTAGTGCGATTCCTTTAATGCCAATTTGATGCTCAAGTCTCCCCAAAAGAATATTATGGTCAATGGTGTCAAATGCAGCACTAAGATCTAATAATACAAGTACAGAGACAAGTCCATTGTCTGAAGCAATCGAAAGGTCATTATTAACTTTAACCAGAGCTGTCTCTGTGCTATGATGAACTCTAAATCCTGACTGAAAATCCTCAAATAAGCTATTGTTATGTAAAATGTCACACAACTCTTTGGCAACTACTTTCAATCTTAGAGAGGAAGGGGAGGTTAGAGATTGGTCTATAGTTGCCTAAAACCCCTGGGTCAAGAGTGGGCTTTTTAAGAAGGGGTTTAATTACAGCTACTTTAAAGGACTGTGGTACATATCCTGAAAATAAAGAAAGATTAATCATATCCAGTAAAGAAGTGCCAATTAAGGGTACGACTTCTTTAAGCAGCCTAGTTGGGAATGGGTCCAACAGCAACCAATCAGAGCAGAGAAAGATACAGTAGAAAAATGCTTTGGGTTATTGTGCAATAGGTACAGACTGCTCAGGACTTGGGTAAAGTCATTTTCATTGCTAAGTTGTTTCATATTTTGATTATTTGTGATTCTGAGGTGGTTATAGCCTTTTTTCAAAAACAGTGTTGTTTATTGTTTGAGTTGTAGAGCGCAGTGTCTGCTGGTTATTGTAGTAAGGACAGGCCACACACTGCTGCTGTACACTGCAGTTTGTGTGTGTGTGGCTGTGTGGACATCCAACATATCAGACTGTATTGATTTACGCTCTATCCTCAGCTTCATTTTCAGTTCAGTGTGTTTAATTGGAATGAGTGTAACAAAGACAGCATTGTTACAGTGTTTAGACATTTTAGAATAAAAGAAAAACAACTATAATTCATAAATCAAGAAAATATCAGAAAACAGACTTTGCTCTCTGTGTGTGTCAGATTGTGGAAGTGTGTGGTGTGTGTTAAAGTTGTTAGGTGTGCGTGTGAGAGAGTGTGAGTGAGTGAAAGAGAGAGAGATTGAAGAAGTCTGTGCAAAGGTGTTATAGTTGTGTGTATGTCTCACTGTCCGTCACAACTTTATCAGTAGAGAGACTGATGGCCTTCATCGTCTGCTGAAGAGTCTTCACTTCTTTTTCTATGCTCTTGATTCTCTGCTGGATTTGTCCCTGGTTGTCCCCAAGCTCTCTCTGCCTCTCAGTCCTTTCTAGTGCAGCTGACACTGTATTGTGGTCTCACCCATGGAGCAGAGGTAACAGATACACTGCCGATCGGTGCGGCAGAAAATCTCACAGCTTCTGACAATGAACTTGTCTCTGTACTTGTATTATTAGATCTTAGTGCTGCATTTGACACCATTGACCATAATATTCTTTTGGGGAGACTTGAGCATCAAATTGGCATTAAAGGAACCGCACTAAGCTGGTTTAAGTCATATTTATCAGATCGCTCGCAGTTTGTACATGTTAACGATGAATCTTCAATAAATACTACAGTTAGTCATGGAGTTCCACAAGGTTCTGTACTTGGACCAATACTATTTACTTTATATATGCTCCCTTTAGGCAACATTATTAGGAATCACTCCATTAACTTTCACTGTTATGCAGATGATACGCAGTTATGTCTATCAATCAAACCCAATGAAATTAATCAATTATCTAAATTACAAACATGTCTTACGGACATAAAATCCTGGATGACCTTCAATTTTCTGATGTCAAACTCAGAAAAAAACGAAATTCTTGTTCTTGGCCCCAAAAACCTTAGAGACTCATTGTCTAAAGATATAGTCACTCTAGATGGCATTAACTTGGCCTCTAGCACCACTGTCAGGAATCTTGGAGTTATCTTTGATCAGGATTTGTCATTTAACTCCCACATAAAGCAGACCTCTAGGACCGCCTTCTTTCATTTACGTAATATTAGAAAAATTAGACACATCCTATCACAGACAGATGCAGAAAAACTAATCCATGCATTTGTTACTTCAAGGCTGGATTACTGCAACTCTTTATTATCAGGTTGCCCCAATAAGTCCATTAAAACGCTCCAATTAATTCAGAACGCTGCAGCATGAGTACTGACAGGAACTAGAAAAAGAGATCACATCTCTCCTGTACTAGCTTCTCTGCATTGGCTCCCTGTAAAATGTAGAATTGAATTTAAAATCCTCCTCACCTATAAAGCTCTTCATGGTCAGGCCCCTTCATATCTTAAAGAGCTCATAGTACCCTATTACCCCACTAGAACACTACGTTCTCTGAATGCTGGGCTACTTGTGGTTCCTATAGTCTCTAAAAGTAGAACAGGAGCCAGAGCCTTCAGTTACCAAGCTCCTCTCCTGTGGAACCAGCTTCCAGTTGTGGTTCGGGAGGCAGACACCCTCACCACATTCAAGAGTAGGCTTAAGACATTCCTCTTTGATAACGCTTATAGTTAGGGCTGGATCAGGTGAGTCCTGAACCATCCCTTAGTTATGCTGCTATAGGCCTAGACTATCGGGGGATTTCCCATGGTGCACTGAGCTCCTCCCTTCCTCTCTCTTTCTGCACTCATTCATGTTCCATTAATGCATGTTACTAACTTCACTTCTTCCCTGGAGTTCTTGTGCTTTCTCGTCTCGCAGGTTCTCATGGATCCTGGTGGAGCCTCCTGCCATGGTCCTGCTTGACTGCCATTGCCAGTACTGTTGTTGCTGTGCACCTGTCTGTCTGTCTCTCGCTCTCTCTGCCTCTCTCTCTCTCTCTCTCTCTCACCCCAACTGGTCGAGACAGATGACCACCCACCTAGAGCCGAAGGATCTGTCCTAGGTTTCTGCCTTTTAACAGGCAGTTTTTCCTTGCCCTTGTCGCCAAGTGCTTGCTCATGGTGGTACTGTTGGGTCTCTGTAATTAATGTTAAAGAGTTCGGTCTAGACCTGCTCTATTTGAAAAGTGTCCTGAGATAACTTCTGTTATGAATTGGCGCTATACAAATAAAATTGAATTGAATTGAATTGAATTGAACAACGGACAACTCACCTTTCTCCCACTGCATCCCAGACCACCTCTCCGGGTCCGGTGAATTTGTCCAGCTGAATATGTCACTGCCATTTCACTTCTGAACAACAGCAAATGTCTTAAGTTACGACTCCTTGTAAGAATTTAAAGCTGTGTTGAAATCCTAACCCCAACCCAGTTCCTTTTGATTATGACTCACTTGTTGATCTGCAGTGCGATGTGCACTTCCCAACACATTGGTCACAGACATCTTTAAACTGGCAGATCTGTGAAGGCTGCGGAAACAGGAAACATTGGGATGGAATGGGACTAGCAGCGCATGTTTACACTGTCTGATGGATAAATGTGGAAGAGTTACAGGAGCATTATTGCTCACTCTGTTGGTCCAACAACAGTCACTATAGTTTGGTCGGAGTGTGACAGGACTTTATTTAAGTTATCTAAAGTACAGTCTTATTCAATCAAATACAACAGCACTGTCATTAAATCTCTTTACTGTATATATTTAATTATCTGTTGTTCCCATCTACATACATGAGGGGGGCAGAATATTAGAAACACTTCTGGATATAATGTAGTCCAGTAAACAACCTTTAACTGTGACCTCAGTAATAAAACATTTACAATATCACCAAAACCTGAACATTATGATCTTGATAAAGATAGTAGATGGGTGACAATTTAAAGGAAAAACCAACACAAACCTCCTAGAAACCTCTCCATTCTCCCATAGGTGTCAAACCTCCTAGAAACCTCTCCATTCTCCCATAGGTGTTCGATTGATTCACATCATTTCAATTCTCAAACCATTCAATGACCCCTAGTGTCCTGTATAAAGTGGGGGAGGGGAGCGACGGCAGTCGTAGGACAGATTCACCACAGAAGCAACTTAAAGTCAACACATTTCTGTACATAAATTTTATTCCCAATTCAGTGTCTGAAGCTGAAAAATACAGCAACATAGAGCAATGCCATGGTAAAAAATAACTTAGCAAAATAATTACAGACTGATAATCACGACCCAGTGGTTATCTTTTTCACAGTTACAACACTAGAAATTTTGTACACAAAAATACATGCAATGTCCCACGGAACACAATCCGGGTTTCGCTCAGAGGATTGGAGAAAAACAGAAACATGTAGAGATCTGACACATACAAGTATCAAAACAGTGAAAGAAAGTGAAGCAATACTTGTTGAAACTGAGTACTGATATGATGTAATAATGTACACAATGATGCTAACATACACTATTTGTGTCAGTTATAGAAAAAGAAAAACACTTTCGAGTCTTCATTAGTGAGAAATGTTGGGTCAAGGGTGGGTTTTATACTCACTGACATTGGGTACAGTTCACTCAGAAGGCAGACTAAACTTTAGTGCTGCTGCTGTGATCAGTGATTCAAAGACTGATCGAAACTGGCTTTAAAAAATATCACATTTACCAGAACAACGTACTGTATAGATAAGTTGATGGAAACTGTGGTGGCACATACTTGGCACTATAGTCCAGTGTATGACTATTCAAGCTAAATCATGGCAAAGTTCTTCAGTGAAACACAATGAAATATTTGGGATTCTGTGCTCCTTTGGCCCGTGATTTTCTTTCCATGAATGAACTGTTAGTGTGTGAATGACAGTTACCATCTGCAGTATACGCTGCATTTCCTCAGTGGTTCCCAACCTGTTTCAGATATCGCATTACGGTACTCTTTCCTCACCACCGATACTGTTCCAGATGTGTTCACTGTTTATAAACTGAATGTTATTTAACATTATTGACTTCATACAAATAAATATTCAAATATTTTTCATACAGTTGAACTGTCAGTGTTTTGGTTAGTTTAAGTTTGCCTTTGACTACAAGCTGATGTTTCAACCATATATCTTTTTTCAGCTAACTTTTTCAATTACTTTCATTACTCAGGTATTTTAACCATTTATTAATTTTTCTATCTTTATACAGTTTTCTTAACTGTTTCGACAATTTCAATTATTTTTTGCTATTTCTTTTTTTTTTTTTAAGTAATTTTTTTTGGCCTTTTCATGCCTTTATTGGATACAGACAGCTGAAGATCGACAGGCAAGGTAAGTAGAGAGAGAGAGGGGATGACACGCAGCAAAGGGCCGCAGGTCGGATTCAAACCCGGGCCGCTGCAGCAACTCCGTATATGGGTCGCCAGCTCTACCGACTGAGATTTTTTGCTGTTTCAACATTTTTTTTTTCATTTTTATAAGATTTTGTACAATTGTCACATTTTTATATACCTTTTTTGACAATTGATACTTTTAGCTATTTCCACCATTTATCACTTTTAGTTAACTATTTAGACTTCTCTGCTCACTTACCAACTAACTAGTTATCACAAACTCAACATCTGCTGTTCAGGCAGTACAGCTGACTCAATATAGTAATATATGTTTTAAATTAAACTGCAATTTCTGTTGTTCACATATATGTGTTGTTTCACATAACTCCTGGCAACTGCAGAGTTGCCCTCTGGGGTACAAAAACCCCTGGTTGGGAATCACTGGTGTAACACACGTTAAAAAGCAAACTGCCATTGAACAGTGTGTCAGATACAATATGAAGTACAGACAGCAGCAGACTGAACAAACCCCAGCAATGACAGACAGCTCTGAAGAGAAATCAACAGCCTTTTTCTGCCATGATCTTAGCATTAATACACAGTAGTATTTAAACTGAGTGTCACCATCTTAATTTTGCCTTGAAACACTTAAAACATGGAGGTTTGTTACAGTTTATTACTTGTCGTTGTTGAACACATTTGGACAGTTTTTTTCAGCTGACCATGCCCATTAGAGCTTTATTTTATTTGTTTATTTCAGATATTTTTGGTATTTTTCCCTTTTTTTGACAGGAGAGCTTGAGAGATGGACAGGAAAGGGAGACGACACGCAACAAAGGACCACATGTTGGATTTGAACCCACAGCAGGGCCTCAGCCTTGGTACATGGGGTGCCAGCTCTGCAGGGTGAGCTACCAGGGCGCCTCAGTGCTTTATTTTAATGTTTGTTCCAGAGGATATTTCTGGCATCAATATACAGGCTCTGGTCTGCCCCCTAGTGGATACACTTTAATACGGTTAGGGTTGGGTGATATGACAATAATAAATAATAAATAAATTAGATGATAGAATTTGTTGAGATTTTGCCATCCCTTCCATATGTAGGTTAGCACAGTGGTACAAATGTTGCACATCACTGAGCAGGACTGCTTTATGACAATATTGGATTTTAAGTATTTTTAAATGAATTTTTGATTTGTCAGATATTACCTTTGCTACATCAAAACATGCATTCCTGTGTGGTTATTTGATCCATAAACAATTCATTTGAGAGAAAATGTACCATGTATCATGATACGATTCGATTTTCTAGATATTATCCCTATTGTCCACCCCTACTCCTGGTAAATGTACAGTAAACCTTGGTAAAAGCAAATACCTCACAAACGTCTTCCACACAGTCAGATGAGAAGCTCAATTTTCCTGTAAATTAAGATCAAATCACCTGGGGTGAATGTTTAGCCAGCTGGAGTGCAAAGATTGGAAGGGGGGGGGGCAGCCTAGCTTCATCAAAAGTGAATAAAACCACATCCCCGTCATATCGTCATATTGTGGTGTAGGAATAGACATTGTGGTTCAAGAGCTGGACTCGTACCACTACGCTAGTTTCAGTGCCCATACCAACACAATGCTTTTTCAAATAGCTTAGTTTAAGAAATGTAATCTTCATTTTAAACTTGCATGTTAGCGAAGCATAAGCAGCTGCACAAGCATTTTGCCTGAATAAAGATTTAAACCAGAAGATTTCTGATCAGAGAACAAGCAAACAAAATAGAATATGTTTTTATAACAACATCCTTTGGTCCACACTAAGAGTACTGAGGTTCGATACCCAACTGTCTACACAGCATCTACAAGTCCTGTCTTTGGGGTTGCCAGGTTTGACTGCTGGTTACACAGGGTGGACAACTGGAAGGATCTGCTAGTAAAGCTAGGCTAGTGGTTCCCCCTGCTAACACATCCTGACCTACAACGCAGTCAGAAAGGATTCTGGACAGTGACAGTGCTTTTTATTGTTTTGGTTCAAGTTGGTTAAAGTGCTAATTATTAACTTTTCCAGTGTGTGAGGGTGTATGCCATGTCCAGACTGGGTGGACACTTTACCCCAATTTTTATTTCTGCAATCCAATTATCATACAGAGACATACACACTGAGTCACCCACTCATTTTTTACCTGACCTCAATCCAACTGATCACTTGCTGAAGACAAGGGGTAGAAGGAGGGATCATTTCTACTGAGAATGGACACAGCATGTCCCACTGACTTTTCAAAACCCTTTTTGTGATGGTCTTAAATTGTTGTGTTGGAATACAAGCCAGTACAACAACACATATACCACTGTGTTAAAAGACACGTACATATGATATTAATACTGAACTTCACATCTGACTCTTGATATTAAACACCGACATCATATTGCCTGTTCAGCTGCTTCTCTCATTTGACTTATTTAAGGACGTTTTACAGCATGTGAAATAAATACCAAAGTTGAATATAGCACAGCAACAGCAGAGTGACATACAAGCAAAATGTTTGTGTCCACACAGAATTAAAATGTGTGGAAGGTCAATCAATGCAGAACACCATGTTCAGCTGAACTGCAGTGATAAAACAGCAATACTGCAATACTCAACAAAAACAGGCTCAGTCATTCACAGGTGATGAGTGGTAAGAGTGGACATTGTATGTCTATTAACGAGGAATGTCTCATATTCCCTGTTGGAAAGTTACAAGCATAAGGTATCATCAAAGACAATCAGTCAACTAGCAGACCCTTGAAAACTTGCGTGTGGTGGTGTGTAATCCATTACAGGAAATCGACACTACTACAAGGTCTACACTACATTAGCTGATGACAATATGGGAACATTGACAAAAATAAATGTGGTTTTAGTGTAGAGCCTGACTGAATTTTCAGGCCAATATTAAAGAAAAGGCTAAGTTCTTTAGCCGTTTGCTAACCTTTTCTTATTGTTAGGATAGTCATCATGAAAACTATTTTATATTATTTATTCAATTCAATTTATTCAATAATAATTTACTTAAAAGCTTTACATCTTTCATTGTAATTTTTTTTTTTTTAAGTTTTTGAATATGCTCTTTAAAAATTTACTTGACAAGACCAATATTGATAGTAAATTAGAAAAAGGAGATATGTAGTAAGGGGGACATTTTACAGTGTACTAGGTGTGTAGATATAATAACTTTTAACTATGGCTCGTGCTCATCCAACGGTTCAAACGGACGAAGGGTCGTTCCACAGGAAACGTGACGCGTATGTGTGGCTTATAGTATATCTCCAGTTTAAGAGTCTACAGCCACATGAATACTCTGAATACTCCATGTATCTGCAATAGGCTAATATTTGGAGGGCAAAACAAGACTTTCTTGTGCTGCCCACCAGCTAACTTAATGGTAGTGATTGTTGACACAGACCAAGTTTGTAAATGTCCGACTGGGTTAAGCTTCTACACAATAAAAGCTCTGTAATCTCTCTGCCATGTCGCTGTTTGGAGGGAGTTTCTCTCACCAGTGTTTGGCTGCACTGAAGCACCTGAATTACCTGAACTGTCTGTATTCTGCTGAGAGTTTATTTCTTGAAATAAATAGATAATTCAAATGCCTCTTTTGCGGTTCTACAGAGTTTCCAGAGTAAGTCGCCATATTGGAGCATTGTTTTGCCCTCCAGGGGATTCGTGCTAGTCACGTGACTGAAAACTATGAATTGGCCCATATATATCAGTCTGGCATGCTCTAATTTTCAGTGTGATGGATTAGAGTTTGCTAAATGACTTTCCTACTCTACATACATGAATCCACTGAATCCACTGAATTCCTGAAACAGTAAAAGCAGCAGCGTGGTTTGCAAAGTGATTAGCTGCATTATTTGTAGTAAATTAATCAGGTGTTATCACCACTATGGTTCTCTAGAATTGAAGAGAGCCTTCATGACTGCATTAATCTAAAGACGAAAAAAAATTGGACTAGCCGAAGAAAGTGGACAATTAGTCCACCAGGAATTTTAGGGTAAGGACATGAATGAAAAACATAACAAAGAACACTAATAAAATTCTCAACAACGTGATTACGCTTGAATGACAAGTGAAGATTTCATTCCTGTTTTTCTATATTTTTTGCCACTGTTTAAAACTGATATCATAAATGACTAACAGTTACCATGATTTACAACAGGGAACATTAGAAATATGACATCTATTAGTAAATGTTTAACTTCATTTAAGAGTAAAACTCAAAGAAATTGAAGGATGATTCCAGTTTAATACAACTTGGATGCTATTTTCATAGCTTTGGTCTTTGTTTCCATCAGTTATGATAACACTGTAGCTAAAGTAATATAGATCTGGGAAAATCATGTAACAAACTTTACACAGTTTATGCATTTTATTCTAACCATTTTATTTGATGATTAGACTGAAAGTGGGTGCACCTAAGATGTTGTTAATACCCCCTCATCTGCACACAACTAGACAATATGAGAGTAGGACAGGTAAAAGCTGAAGCAGGAAGAGGGTCTGCAAACTGTGTTGAATGTTTATAACAGTTTGGGTAATAATTTTAACATTCACCTTCATTTTCTCTTCTGAATAAGTTTGTTTAAACTGAAGGTTTCCAAACTGTCTGATTGTTTCTTGACCCTTCAGAATTATTTTTAGTGATGCTGCTGTGTGCCTAACCATCCATCGATCCATCTTACGCCATTTATCCTGACTTATCTAGGCTATTGTCCTAGCCATGTCCTCCAGCTCCTCATGGAAAAACCCAGGGCATTCCCAGGCCAGATGAGATAACCCTAACCTGGCTGCACCAGATGGAACTGGCCATTTAAAAAATACCTTGATGATTGGATGAACCATCTATCCCAAGCAAACTTCAACAAATCAGATCAAAAAAACCTAACATAGTCAAACTCTTACTGAAGTCAGTCAAGAGCAATATCTTTTCCATGGAGAAGTTTTTTGCTCTTCTTTCAATTAAGAAATAGTCTCCAGTTTTAATATAACTGATGCTAGCACAATCTATGCTAACCTCTTGAGCAGCCACCATTGTTGTCTTCTCCCACACACATTAAACCACGCCCATAGCTCATGCCTTAGCATGCCACTGTGGTTGGACACAAGCCCAATGCTTGAAACCTTGCAAGACGGATTCTTGTGTGATCTTGCGGGTGCAGCTGCCTCACAAAGCTAGGATAATCCCCTCTAGGATGTTCTGGGTCTGCCTCAGGCATTGTCCTTGTTAAATCATCATGGTAATCACATGACAGAGCCACCTCATTTTTTTCAATGTTAAGGAGCAGGAGTTCTACTCTGACCTCCTACCGGATGTCTGACCTTTTAAGGCCTGGATATGCTTGAAACAAATTTAAGAAGCGTCACCCAACCACGTCTGAAGGTTTATAGGTGTTCTGAGCAGGCACCCTCGGAGGATGGGGGGGGGAAGCTGCATTCAATTGTACTTGCAAAAAGTAACTGAAGTAGAAGAATAAAAGAGCTGTCTACTTTGACACCTCCACACAGCTAGCTAATCACTGATTTAAGTGGGTGAGATTGTTGGATTTTGTGTTTCAGAAAGCTAAAAAAATTGATGGACGCACAATTTCAGCGTCACACAGCGATGTGTGGGGAGAATGGGTGTCAAACTGTTCAACCATCCGAGAAGCACTTCCACTGAAGCATAAAGGTGCCAGTATCTGTCAGCAGAACTGCATGTCGGGAATTTATATAATTTACCAATTCCATGAGTAGTTCTATAATCTCTGATTCTGAACACAGTGTAGAAAAAGAGTGGAGTTAAAGTAGTTTGAGTTTCTTAGTGAAATGAAGCCACGCTTTGGAATGTTTCTTTTTTTTCCGCCCCGACTCATTGTTTCCAGCACTGTAGACACAAGTTTGATGTTGTTGCAATGCGCAACTGTCAGAAAAACATGCTGGCATTGACCAAAGGTATTGCTAAGCTCAGAGGCATACAATTGCGATGGATTGGACAATTTGGGACTGGTTCTGGATTTCCCATCCCTTTTCCCAGCAGCTTTGGAAACGTCAAGGCTCCACACCTCTGTGATGTTGGAATTTGGGAAGGGGCTCTGTCTGACAATTTCTGAAAGTGACATTCACACCTACATCACACAGTGATTGGCCTGCTGTGTGGAGGTGAGAAAGGAGCCAGGGTTTGAACTTCTCTTCTCTTGAACCATGAATGTCTTCCAAGACAGACTATACTAAAGGGTGCACCGTAATCCCCATAAAAACATCACCTTTCCCAATTTCTCTGGGCAGCTGGCTTTTCATTCTGCCTTTGAGTTCAGAACAGCTCTGAACACTTTTAGCTTTAGACATGGTTAAACAACATCAGGCAAACTTGTTTTTTGTCAGCGTAACCCCAACCTAATGTCACCTTCTTTGTCTAAGAAATTAATTTCAGCTTCTTGTACCCGCAGTCTTATTCTTTTATTTTCCCTAATGCGAAGCTCATGACCAAAGGTGAGGGCTGAAATATAGATGGAACAGTAAATGGAGAGCCTTGTCTACAGGCTCACCACTGCAGTAATACCTACATTACTGTGGATGTGGGGCCAATCTATATGCCAATCTTATGCTTCATCCTACACTCACTAATAAACAAGAGCCCTAGATATTTAAACTTAATTTCCTTAAGATCCCAGTACTATTACTTTGGAGAACAGTTTTACTATGCTATGAAAATAAAGTTCAATCCAAGATGTATTAAAGCAGAATTATCCTTTAGATTCAACATAACATTTTGCTTTTAAAGCATGATTATTCAGAACCAGTGCTGATGGAGTTCCCTTATTCCACTGTCCTTTAGTTGGAGATCAGACTAAGTTTTAGGATGGCTTCCCACCAAGAGTCCCTCTGAGGAGCAGCTTCCTGCAGCAGGTGGTGAATCAAAGACAATCCATCATACTATTTCCCTTTGATGTCCAACTGTCAAAAAATAAACTCTTTTACAAATAAATACAGTATTTACACACACACACACACACGATTGTTGAAAGCTTGGTACTTCATTGTAAATTGCTTTAAATTCACTCCACCAGCTGCCTCAGCATACTGGTGTAGACAACAGCTGACTGTCTTATTGATTGTAATTATCACCTTGTTTGGTACTGTTTCCAAATTTAGATTTGTTCTGTACAAAATATTAATTGTTTCTATTTGTAAACCTTGTTATGTACATCAGCAAACACCTTTTACAGGAGGACTACCAACTGAGGTAGTGAGGGGTGAACGGGTGAACTGATCCAGGGCTGCTTCTTCATTTGACCAACAATAGAACACAGGCTCTTAAAGCCAACTTCATGATTCCTTATGGTTTTTGTACAACTACGAATTCTCTTATTTTGGAACTAATTCAGTCCAGCTGTATAACACAGCGCTGAAGGTGATGAAGTCTCATCGTTTGTCCTTTTCGCTGCAGTGCTGATCTTTAATCGTATTAGTGAGGCCTTCAAATGGGGTCACTTTTTCACACTCACAACTCCGGAACTTTTCCAAGGATCCAAATTTACGAGTTTGGATGTGTGTCTTCCTCCTCTGTGCGATGTTGAAATGTAGAAAGAATATTGCATGAGCAGTTTCACAAATTCAAACACTTTTACAACAGGGGTGTTTTTTTCAACCATCCATGTCTAAAACCTGAGCTCCATTTGAAGGCCGTATAACACTGGTCTGCAGACCGAAGAGCAGCATCAGTCCGCTAACACTGTTGTCCACATTTGTGCACTGATGCATCTTTTCACCCAAGCAGAAACCCAACATGGGCCAAAAAACTATGTGCTTGCTCACATGTTTTTAGCAGCGTAACGAATGACAGTGAACAAGGAAGCTGAGAGAAAGAAACAAGGGACAACCTCACCAAAGTCTTCCATTGGCTGGATTTTTCCAGAGTTTACATTACACTAAGTCCTGATGAAGAAGACAGCAGGTGTGTTGGCATATGCAGTCAGTGTCAGATGCTTCTTGACTCTCCCATTTCAGTAGATACCATCAAATTCCACTGTGTTCATCATTTAGTCTATACTTCCCAAACTAATGGGTTTGGCACAATAATGTCCCTCTGGGTAAGGTCTGCTCTCATTCAAATGACATGAGGTTTGCTGGTATCTGTTGAGAATAGAAGAAATTTAACACAAATATTAGAAACAGGGAAAGCAGCTAGCTCTGACAGTTTCTGTATAAAGCAGTTTTAATTGACTGATTTTCGTCCCTTGGGTGCAGTGCATCAGGCTATAAATTCAACAGTGACATATTATCACCTTATAAAGCTGTTATGGCAAATGTGGCAATACCAATCTATTTACACATTCAAAGCTACATTAGTCTGGTGATGTGGTGAATGCAAGTCCAATATTCATTCCCCTGTTTTTGGTCTCCACCAAAACTATGTGTAAAAGTGACAAACTGCATAGAGGTACATGTTTAGAGATAAAGGGCCGATGTAAATTAGCTAGCTAGTGTTTTGCTAACAAATATAACTACCTAGCTAAAGACTGATGTAGATTAGCTAGTTCTTTTATCTTTTAACCAACTTTGAAATGTGGTTGTCTTTTCATAGATTAGCCTAGAACATAGCATATCTAAGTACAGGAAAGGAGGAAGTTAACCGAGGTTCTGAACAAGGCTTGCTCAACTGTTACTGGAGCACACAGCAAAAAGTTCAACCTGTTCTTATTATCTGAAAAAGTGCCAAAAGATAAAGTTGCAAAACCCCAAATTTGGTTATTAATTAATAATTCAAATACAGAGAGTATTTAGAGTTTATAAATGCACAGGAAGAGAAAAGAGTAAACTCTTTCATCTGACCAAAACTGACCCATGGTCCAAACAGATACAGAGAGCGTTTGCTTAAAGGCCAGGACACACCAACCCGACGGCCGACCGTCGGCAGAAAAGCAGTCGGACTGATCAGTCGGCTCCCGTCTCCCCGAGTCGGTCAAAAAAGTGCCTCCGAACACACCAAACCGACGCCGACTGGAGTGTACGTTCTGCGCGTGCGCGAGGCGTAATACATCCCCATAACAGCAGGTGTCGCTAGTATGTGTTGTCGCCCAAAAAAAATTCAAACCAGAGATGACGGATCACTCTAGACCTAGTAAACACAGAGCACGCTGTCGTCAGTCATTGTTTTCATCAGAGAGTGTTGACAGTTGTCAAGGAGGATCGTTATTGTCATTACTCGCTGAACGGAAAATACGATGGCTAATAATAACAAGATACTGGCGTTGGCGTAGTATGTTTACCATCGTCACTTCCAGTTTTCTCGTGCACTCACTGATTCGCTAGTCAAGGGCTAGCACTCTGACGCCAAAATGAACGCCGACGCCAACTGACGACGGCACGGGACACACCGAACCGACTCGAGTCACCGACCTCGCCCGACTGTCCGACGACGTCCGATAATCGGGTTGGTGTGTCCGGGCCTTAACATACCTGAGGTCTACTGCTTCTGCAAGCCTCTTCCAGGTTTTTGTGCCAGATGATCGCTGAAAACCTGGATCCTGTCTGGAACTTGTAAACATTGCCTGTGAGGTGAAACATATTGCTCTGTATGGTTATCGGAATTTAAATGTAGGAAAAAGAAAACAGCGGGTGCTCTGTTGGTGGTATGGAGCTGACCTTTGTCTGGGTCATTGAGCTGGAAGATGTTGGGTCTGGCTGGGTCATCCGGCAGCACCACCATCCATCCCGTCACACACACCTTCTTACAGTGGTTGGACTTGTACTGTGGCAAACAGCGGAGTACAGCACCAAACTCTCAACAAACTGTCACACTAGGCAGTGCTGATGAAATATGAATCAAAATTCTGTTACTGCGTTGACTATTTCTTGCCTCAATGCAAGTTAAATGTTTTGTTGTCGTCTATGGAGTCTGGTGAGTCTGTTTCTGGTTAAACTAAATGTATATCTCTGTAGGGATCCTTTCCATAATGTCAGACACTGAGAATAACAATCTGAACCTGTCAGTAGCAAAAACAACTTTTAGAGGATGGACTTGATGGGCGTTGATTAGTCCCCAAGGATCAGCTAACGTTACTAGGTAGAATTACTGGTTTTGTCAATGGAGTCTGATCAGCCGTAGTGCCCATTGTTTTGATTTAACATTCTGTTGCTCTAGTGCAACATCTAGTGGATCTTCTATTATGTAACTTCTAAGCATACAACTTACATGTTTCCTCTCAGAGGCCCTCAGTGCCTTCGCCCCATAGAAAGTCAATGTTGAACCCGAAAGAGTGATCCAAAATCTGGTCCACGATGACAACTGCAAAACAGCAAGACAATGGATATGCTGAAAACACCTCACTCACTGTCATCAGAGGATTCCTTCACTCACATGCTTAATGATCAAACCACAGTGAAATCAAAGATAGAGGCCTTACCCTGGGCTTGCGTCCCTCCTTCAGTAGTGTTTTCCTTCGCAGGGGTCCTTCTATGGTCACACTGCCGGCCTCACTGCATCCATAGCAGGAGTTGGCGGCAGAGGAGCTACGGGTGTTGGGAAGTGGAGGAGGGATCCAAACACAAAACATTAGAAGGGAGGGAAACAGATTTCTGCTCAGTGCGCAGAGAAATCAGTGTGTACAATTCAGTGTTCGATCCCATGTGATGCTCTGTGAGGGCACTGACGGTTTTCATTTTAAACAAACTGGTTTCACTGATTAGTATAGAAGAAGAACTAATATAAACTTAGTGCCTATTTCATTAAAAACATGCTGATCGTGGTGACTCTGTTTTAAACTTAAAGACAGACAGTAGGTGGCGCTAGTTCTTCAGTCAGAAAACAAGAAGAGGGCGCAACAAGATGACGTAGTTAAAAGGGCGCCAGAGGTAGCTCAAACAGTAAAGAACAATGAAGAAACCAGGATGGAAATATGACATTTAAATGTTTTCCCTGTCAGAACTTATTCGGAAAAAGTGTTTCCATCTCCCATTAAGCATATTAAAGGTCCAGTGTGTAACATTGGTGAAGATCTATTGTCAGAAATGGAATATAAAATTCATAGCATATAATCCCCTGAAAATCTGAATGTTGTGTTCATTACCTTAGAATAAGACGTTTTTATCCAGAGAGAGCAGGTCCTCTAATAAGAGTCCACCATGTTTCTACAGTAGCACAGAACAGACAAACCAAACACTGGCTCAAGATAGGGCCTTCTTCTTTTCTACTTATGTTACCTGTAAGTGCTTGCATTTTGTTGCATTTAGTTAATTCTTTGATTTATTTTATGTTAGCCTTTAATTTAATTAAATTTAATTTAATTTTGTTTTGTTTTATTTTATTTCATGTTAGCTTATTTTGACTCTAAACCTGTAGTACTTTACTTTAATAAAAATAAATAATAAATAAAGCTTCTTGAATCTTGAATCTTGAATAATGTTTTTTACGAGTTTTGTGGCCACCATAGTTCCTCCTAATGATGGAAGGCTGAGCTGTATTCAAATGGTTTGAATCTGCAACTTCACCACTAAATGGTAAATGGTAGAAACACTACATGCCACACTCACCCGATTCACACACATTCATACACTGATAGCAGTGGCTGCCATGCAAGTTGCCAACTGCTCACCTGAACGGAAACTAATCATTCATACACTCTCATACACCAATGGTAGTGGATGGTAAATGGACCTGTACTTGTATAGCGCCTTTCTAGTCTTCCGACCACTCAAAGCGCTTTTACACTATGTGCCACATTCACCCTTTCACACACATTCACTCAGTGATGGCAAAGCCCATTGAACAGAAACTAACACATTCATACACATTCACACACCGATGCACAGCATTTGGGAATTTGGGGTTCAGTGTCTTGCTCAAGGATACTTCGACATGCAGCGAGAGGATCTGGGGAACGAACCCTTCAACCTTCCGATAAGTGGACAGCCCGCTCTACCTCTAAGCCACAGCCGTCCACTAGATGCCATTGAATCCTACACACTGGTTAACTCTTCACACCTCAAGCAAGTGTTAAAACTTTTTTGCCGTTTCCATTCTTCAAAATGTGCATTAAAATACATGAATGGATACACAGCTATTGATAATGGTTCTAAAAGTTTGCTCTTATAGTTAGATGGATAAGACAGACAAGACGAACATAAAGCACACCACCTTTGCAGTGACTGTCACAGGTTATAGGCCAAAGTCATGATCTGTCAGTCATTTATAAAAATATAAAAAGGCATTTTGCTAATCTTAGAGCCTTCAGCCATGTTCACATTATATCAGAAAAACACCCTTTGCCCTCTTCTTTATTCTGCATATGCATGTGACAGATCTGTGATGATGCATGTGGAGTGCCGTGTGGAGCCACGTTGGACAGAGAGGTGCTGTGTGCAGCCAATGGTCAAGACTGTGACCAAAGATGGAGAACACATCCATAATGTGTCTACGAAGTTCCAAATCATCATCATAATAAGGCCGAACTAAAAGATATTTGTTGGGTAAAACATCAGCCTTCAGATTGTCAGGATTGTTACACAACCATCTTTTGAGTCCGTGTTGACTAATGTGACCGTTACAGAAAGTGGCTACAGAACCTACAAAAAGCAAAAAGTTTTTGCTAATTACAATTTAACCTTCCTAAGTCCCGCCCCTTTTTGCTCTGTGCTCCAATAACAGTTGAGCAAGCCTCGGTCAGAACCCCGGTCAACTTCCTCCTTTCCTGTACTTAAATATGCTATGTGCTAGGCTAATCTATGTTGAAAAGACAACCACATTTTGAAGATGGTTAAAAGATAAAAAGGGAAATATATAGAGACTCACATTTTAGGTTAGCTAATGTTAACAAAACGCTAGCTAACTAGCTAATCTAAATAAATCGTTAGCTAGCTAGTTACATCTGATGGCTAATGTTGCTAGCTAACGATTAATGTAGATTAACTATCAAGTTATCTTGCGTTTTTCTATTATTAACCACAATTTGCCAAGACAAGATGTGACTATACACCGATCAGCCCTAACATTCTGACCACCTGGGCACCCTGGTGTTCTGCAGCCCCATACCAACAACCTGTGATCCATTGTGTGTTCTGACACCGTTCTATCAGAACCAGCATTAACTGTTTCAGCAGTTTGAGCTACAGTAGCTCGTCTGTTGGATCGGACCACATGGGCCAGCCTTCACTCCCCACGTACATCAATGAGCCTGTCTCTGGTTCTTTTCCTTCCTTGAATCACTTTTGATAGGTCTTAGGAAGGGTCAATTGTCCCAATTAATAATTTTCACAATGTGTTGTCAACAGCTTTTTCCCCTTTGTTAATTTGGTAAACTGACCCTTTAGAGACTTACACAATCCAGCCAGTGTCACTGTAGTTACTAAGTGGAATGTACATTTAATTTGTGAACACTGAGTTCAGAATGATACCTGACTTCCACCAGCATGCAGTGAGGATGAGGTGAGATAAAAAGACATCAGAGTAAGTCTTACTTCTATTCCCCTGTAAACATGAATTCATTGTTATTTAAAGTTGACTGCTTGTTCTCCCACTTCACTGTACCTGTAAACATAGCTGCGGCTCCGGGGGGAGTTGCGAAGTGGGACCCTCCAGTTGGGGCCCAGAGTTGCGTACATTCGGCCCCTGTTTGTCACACATTGTCACAGTCAGTCTGAGGGGCTCATGGGATTGGCAGAAGTGTTCAGTGTATCTCATGTGACCAGAAGAACCCAGAGTGTACACTGAGGCCAATTAAATTTATAATCTGTATCACTTTGAGAGCAAACATGATCATATTGACCAATCTCAGCCCACTCGTAGATATCAATGACTTATTTTTTCAATATTCTTGCAGGGACAAACATGGATATACAGTACGATTAACTTGACGTAGGATGTTAGCAACATTAAAATACATTGATATTGTATGTATAATGTATATGAAAACTGTTAACATAAAAAGTCTAAGGAAAATTCAAATAAAGTTTAAAAGGATAAGTCTGGTGAACCTTATATTTTTCTCATTGTCAACAAATCCTATGTGCAGAGCCAAACCAACAGGTACTATGAAGTACTGTGTGTGTATTTTAAAGCCTGATATACTGTATTGTCTTCCTCTGTGCCAAAGAACTCCATTGTACATTAAAAACTCATCAGTGAGCCACACTCTTGCACTGGCTGACCTTCATTACCATGAACACACACTACTTCATTTATACACTGTCCTGCTGCCCCAAATACTCACTCTAGAACCAAACGTGGATTCATCCACTGCTGAAATTAGTCCCCAACTAATGCACTTTTTCCTCCTGATTGAGTAATGTTATGATAAAAACAGTGACCAGCTGTTTAAGTCTTCTAAAAAATGAAACTATACATTTTTAAAGATCCTCTCCAGATATATATTACAATAGTCTGCCTGGAACAATAATTTGTCTCTGATAAAAGCAGCCTTCTACCTGTTCAAATGTCTACATCATACTGAGAGATGAACACATTGTTGGTCTTTTCATGGGATTTGTTGACTGTTTAAAAATATAAACAATTATCAGCCTCATTTAAGCTTCTTTTTGTCCTCAGCTTTTTTTATAAATCACTATAATGGAGTAAGAATACTTTATTTATCATTTCAAAGTGATTAAAACCTTTAAAGATTAAATGATTATATGTTAGGTAGGTGTGTAGATTATATAGTATGTAATGATCGTCTCTTACCTCTCCATTCCAGGTGACAGCTCCTCCCCAAAAGAACTTTCACTGCTGCCTGTTAGGAAAAAAACAACAACAGGACAGGTTTATTATGGTCTCAAGCTGATGAGGAAAGATAATCAGGCATTTGTAAAAATAGTATGAGTAGAAACTGGTTAATGGCGAAGCACTTTAGCCATGAACAATAATTAAATGTCCTAAACAGAAAAACAATTGACCCTTCCTAAGTCCCGTCCCTTTTTGCTCACCTATGTTGAAAAGACGACAATAATTTGACAATGGTTAAAACATAAAAGCATCATATAGTCACATCTTAGGTTAAGTACATAACTAGATAACTAACAATTTATGTAGATTAGCTAGCTAGTTAGCTAGTCTTTTGCCATGTAACAAGTTAAGATGGTAAATGGACTGTACTTATATACCGCTTTCTAGTCTTTCGACCACTCAATGCGCTGTTCACTACATGCCACACTCACCCCATTCACACACATTCATACACTGATGGCAGTGGCTGCCATGCAAAGTGCCAACTGCTCACCAGAACAGAAACTAATCATACATACACACTCATACACTGATGGACATCGGGAGCAATTTGGGTATCTTGCTCAAGGACACTTCGACATGCAACGAGAGGAGCCAGGGATCAAACTGACTAGTGGAATATATATATATATATACACACATGAAATGTGGTTGTTTTTTCAACATAGATTAGCCTAGCACACATCTAAGCACAGGAAAGGAGGAAGTTGACTGAGGTTCTGACTGTGGCTTGCTCAACTGTTATTAGAGCACAGAGTGAAAGGGGGCGGGACATAGGAAGGGTCAGTTGTATCACACAGCAGGGGTTCCCAAATTTTTTCATGTCAAAGACCCCCACATTACTGCACATTAGACCACGATCCCAACTTTGACAAGATTTTGTCTTAAGGAATCCCCTCTGTGTAATGTTTCTTTTCTTTCAGTTTTCTTTTTAGGTGTAAAATACAAAAAGTCTTCATAATCAAAAACTGATATATAATAATAATAATAATAATAATAATAATAATAATAATAATTACAATCAACAAGCACGGCCAACACTTTTTCTTCCCTTGATCTTCCAACTTCCAAAAAATTTATAAAAAGTTGAATATTCTACTCCTCCTTTTGCATGGGTTTCATCACACTCAAGGACCCCGGTTGGTCCCCAGACCCAAATTTATTATTATTATTCTTTAATGTATTTTTTGGGCCTTTTATTGCCTTTATATGATAGTGACAGCTGAAGATAGACAGGAAAGGGGGGCAGACAGAGGGTTACATGGGACGCCAGCTCTACCAACTGAGCTAACCGGGCACCCACAGACCCAAATTTGACAGTACATACCTAATGACAGGCCATTGGACACAGATGTACTGTGTGGATCATTTCTGACTGGACTCTGAGACTCTAAGAAGCTGTCATCCAGCAGGTGTCGTGCTTTCTCTATGGGGAACGTGGCGCTCCTGCTCTCTGACATGCCATACTGACACATCATACTGTGGACAGAGATCAGCCATTAGACAACGAGGACAACACACACTTTCAGAGTTTGCAGTTAGCCTTGCACATGGATTGAACAAAGAAAATCTAACTTTGGGAAAGGCCTGCCATACTAACTTGTTTCCCAGACTATGGCTCTTCCTGTGGTGAGACGGAGGGGGGGTGGGAATATGAACCCCCACGGAGGCGTCAGGGCAGGTTGGTCTTCGGTTGTACCTCAGAGAGGCAGATACCTCAGAGAGACCTGAAACACAGAAAACAGATCAGTGCTAGCAGCTGCAAGAGGGATGGAGCGACTAGTTCTTCAGACTTTTTACTGTAGGTTTTACCTCTCAGGCTTATTGGTGATGGTTGTAGGGTCTGTATGCCAGAGGTGGAACCAAGTCCCAAGTAAGTTTGAATTTTGCATTTCAAGTCCTAAACATGCACTTTTCACCAAATGTAATGCCAAACCAAAAGGATCTTTGGTATCATTTTTTCCAACTGGTGCTGAGTAAAATAAAAAAGTTCTTAATAGTTCTCTGCTGCAACCTGATTGTATGCTGTCAGATTGATTCAAATAAAGTGGATGTAGGGAATTATGTGTCAACTTGCTGGGAAATAATTATAGTGTTAATGTTAGTTGTTTTAAAAAATGAAGGGAAAGATTAGTGGAATACTTTTTAAATAACACACTTTTGAATCTTTGGGCTTTGGGGAAGTCAAAAGGTAAACTGAAGTCACGAGTCATTGGTGTTAAAGTATAAGTGTGCAAGTCTTTTTTGATTTTGTTAAGTCTACAGTCATCAAATTTGTCCAAGTCATGTGAGTCCACACATATGCTGTTTACAGTCTGAAGACACTTCTTAGGTCTGAAAGAAGTACTACTAACTTTATTCTTGGGTAAAAAATATCAGTTAATTTATATCCTTATTTACTGTTAATATGCCCCTAAAAAGATGCTAGAACTAGACAAAGGTAAGACAAAAAGGCACAGTGCTCTTTCAGTAGCATGGAAATACCACATTATCTATCAGAAAGTATCAGAAAGGAAATGATTTTAAGAAGGCTTAAAGATCAGGTCACTGACCCCACCTGTAAAGTTACAGTGGGTAAGAAGTTTCAGCAAATATAACAAAAAAATATTTTTTTATAAAAGATACCTACTGCAGCTTTAATGCATTAATAATACAGAAGGTTTAGATAGCATTTCTAAGTTTTGTTATACTAATAGTGTTATTCTGTCTGGTTGGTAATCCAGCATTATCTCAGTGTTAGTCTTGTAAAAGGAAAAATACTGTAGTTTTCCAGCAAATCCACTGGATGGGGCCATTGAGTCATAAAATGAGCCTCTGCATAAAAAACATTATTTACATCAGGAACCAGTGCTCTCAACTACTGTAGGGACTCTATCTCCATGTTCTTTGTACAGCGACTGTGTAACAGGTCTGCACATATAATCCTATCATCAGTCCAGCCACAGCTGTGCCTTCTGCCAGGACTGTGTAGGATTGGTGAATTGATGCAGCGTTATCATGTGCATTTTGTGCCAGTGGAACCTCTGAGTCACTCTCCGTTCCCTCTCACTGGAAACCCTTTGGGGCCATTCAATCATAGACGTGACCAGTCCGGACCCAGCAGGGCAGTCTGTGTTCAGCGTACTCAGTCTGGAATACTTCTGACTTGTATGAAGTTATTTTGTGGTCCTAAGCAGCATGGGCCTTAAGAGCCCCATGAAACGTAGGAGCTGCTGCACTAGGAAAAGCTCAAACACTGCAGAGAACATGTCTGTATGTTCTCTTTTCCTAAGCTGTATGCAATTGTGCCTTTTCAGGGGAAACACATATATTCCTCCTGATGGTGTACTATGGCATTTCTTAAAATTAGAATCTGTCCTAAAAACAAGGGGAAAATGCTTACTCATCTGCAATTTTGTAATCACAAAAAATAATGTGGTAGAGGTACAATTAAGGGAGCCCATGTAATGTGGCAGGATAATGTGATCCCTCTGGGATAGAGGCTGCCTGAATGTGCCTTAACTATTAGCTCGTAAAGACACAGAACAGTTTGGGTTGCTGCAGCTCGCTTTCTGGAGAACTGCACACTCAGCCGAATACAGCACATGAATACTCACTTAAAGTATACAAAGGTTCTTCTTTTCTACATAGTGCAGGGACACTTCAACTACACTTCATGGGAGGAGGTGCTGTAAATATTGGTAAATGGTAAATGGACTGTATTTCCAGCCACTCAAAGCGCTTTACACTACATGCCACGTTCACCCATTCATACAGGGATGTCAAAGGCCATCACAAATAGAAACTAACTCATTCATACATACACATTAATTCACTGATGCACAGCGTCAGGAGCAATTTGGGGTTCAGTATCTTGCTCAAGACACTTCGACATGCAGCTGCCCCGAAAATTTAAATTGGAGCATGGATAGGGTTGGACTGGGACTTCTATCTGGATCAAACAGTTACTTTATGTCCGTGGTAATGTAAAAGGTATCTCTTTGTGAAACTTTAATTTCTCATAACTGAATAATCACAATTGTGGTCAAAGAAGTGCTTGCAGTGTTTGAGCACCAAGCTTTGGCGTCCGTTACATGACATGCACTGGCCCAAAAAGACATTTCCCCAAAAGGTTACACTGTGAAAGAAGCAGCAGCTGTAAAACGGTGGATAAATTATTTTTTAGCATCATAAACCTACGGAGCCCCTAAAGGGACATGGGGGGGGGGAAATGAAACGTTTCTCGTGCTCACGAGATACTTTCTTATGTGTGTGTTATGTTCTCAGCATTATGGTAATTGCGGAGAAACAGCGTATTCACTTCCGGTTTTCAAAATAAAGGTATTAAGAACAGTAAGCTATAATTCGAACCTACATTTAAAATAAAATATGCTACATTAAAGTGTTTCATGCAACCATGATGAATAAAAAACATACTTAATATCAAGCATTTTTACTGCACCAATGTGGAGAAATGCCAAAACAAAAGTTCCATATTTGTACCTCCAAGTGGTATCTTTTCTTATATTTGAGGTACTGTAAAAACATATTGCTCAATAATTCCTGGCTATGGATGGTATATTTGACTTCTACACATATAAGACTACAAGTATACTTAATATCAAGCATTTTTACTGCACCAATTTGGAGGAATTCAACAATAAAAGTCCATATTTGTACAACCAACAACTGACGTTAGCTAACGTTACGTTCTCTGTGCTGAGAGCTTGATTGACAGCCTGGTGGTAGCAACTGCATGAGAGCTGTTGTGGAATCAACACATGGCTCATTTGAATATTAAAATTAGCCATGAAATTACTTATTTTGACACACATTTTTAGCCATTAAGTATTAAACTAACAAGGTAATTAATTAATAATTATTTTATTTTTTTTCCCCATGTCCCTTTAGGGGCTCCGTATAAACCCCTGCGAAATGACTGGTTTTACATTCTGTCCAATAACATTTGGAAAGTCTAGAAGAGCAGCACAAGTTTAGCAGATGGCTAAACTGGAAGTTAGCGCCACAACAAGCAGAAGTCTCTGGGACACATTCATCTAGGTAATTTCTTCTCTACAGCAGGAAGTGGCTTTTTTGGCATTGAGCACTGTGCCACCTCCAATGCTGTATCCAGTTCACTTAATACATGAGAAAGGTCATTAGACATGGCCAAAAAGCCCTTTGAAAAGTCATATTCCAGGTGATTGATGTTAGCTCTTAGCTCAGCTCTAGGCACGTGTGTCTGCTTACTCAGCTACTTGAACGGCTGCTAAGACATAATAAAACATCTTGGATGAATTAACCAGATTGTGGTCTGAAAATTCAGTCACGAGAAGCTCAGTCACAAGCCTCCCAAAATAGATGATTTATGGAACATGATCATTCAAATGAGCTAATATTCTCAGGACGATCACTGCTATAATCACATAGAGCTGTATCCCTGTTTACACAGTGGTGTATGAAGTGGGTGAGTGCGTCATGTCACGTGGGATTTCTCCTGTTTTTGTCCTTGCACATGTTCTGCTCAGTCCACCATGCCATCTTGCACTCAATTGTTGTGCACGGAGAGAGTGAGTAAACCAAATTCTTCTGTTTGGCAGTGTGTGAAGTGCATGACACTTGTTTATGCTGAATGAGCCAACAAGCCAGTGGACACAGCCAGAACAGCCCTTTTCTGCTGTGTTATATAACGCTGAATGATCATCTGACTAGCAGGAGGAGAAGGCCATCCGCAGTTATTACGTACTTGTGAGACACATCACTGTAGTCAGAACAATTGTACAAGTTCATTCAGAACAACAGGTTTACTTTTGATTTCTACACACTGAATAGTAAACAAAAGGCAAAAGGAATTACTAAAAATGTTTTTTCATCAGTTATGTTCACAGCAGAAGCAGGTATCAAACTATTATTAGTTTCAGTCCTCTGGCTGAGAACAAAAATGTTTCTTACTTTTTAAAATCAGATTTTTGCTCACACCTGTTTCAGTACATGTACTGTTCTTCAGTACAATTCTGAGGCACTTGAAATGCTGCTTACACATTGAGGCATCAGTAATATAAACACTCCGTTTAAATTTTTCTGCACAATGACTACTTTTACTTTGAATACTTAAAGAGGTATTTCACACTTTGACGTTTTTTTTTAATGTAAACTAAGTCATATGACTGTATTGTGATGAACCCATCACTGTTAAATTTTGACACTCATCTAATTTATGAAAATGGCATAATGGCTCAACACACTCATTTTCAAATGTATGCACATTGAGATGCATCATTCACATGTGGTCATGGTAGTTTTTTTAATAACTCTCTACTAGTATTTTTCCATTTTGGCGCATTTATTTTTATTTTTTTACCTTGATCCCACACAATACCAGTCCCCCCACAGACACACGCACGCACGCACGCACGCACGCACGCACGCACGCGCGCGCGCGCGCGCACACACACACACACACACACACACACACACACACACACACACACACACGGACAGCTATCCACTCTGAACCACTAGCTTAGCCACAACACAGGTAAAGCACACAGAAACTTTTACAAACAGCGTGAATGTGCTTCTAGTGACTGTAAAAGCTCCAGTGTTTCCAGTGTGGACATGGAGAGACAGCAGCTGCTCATTAGCTCTGACTACTAGCTCGCTGTTCCCGCTACACTGCTGTGGTCAGACTGCCTACCACAGAATTAGGTCTTAAATATACAGTTACATCCTAATGAGCGTCGATTCATGATCTAGTCCAAGATTCCAGGACAATGAGAATAGATAATCTCCATACAATAAACCACGACATTTTGCACAAATCCAAGGCCATGTCACCACTGGACTACACATTCACTGGGAGAAGAATTCACTCCACTCAAGCGATTTAGTCCAACTGTTAAGTCACAAACTGCTTTGCACTTATTGTAAGATGTACTGTAATGTGCAATTTCTCCTCCAAGTCTCCATGGAAAACAACATATTCTCTTTAGGCTCTAGTTAGATGTTTTTCTAATTATAAACAGATAAAACATTCAGACAGACAATCTCATACTAATTTACCATAATTGGAAATGTTTATTACGAGATAAGCTGGTGTCATAATGAGAAAAATGTGTTTTTATAAAAAAAGAATCCTTATAATGAAAGAGCAGATTTGTTTGTCATGGTGACAGAAACAGAGCGTTGACCTTGAGGCGACATGCTTTTTCCAGCCAGACATTTCTATGTAATAGCTCAGACACATGCTTCCTTCCTAAATGATTCACTCATGTCCCTGTGTATTATAGTGACTGCAGCACATTATACTCTTGGCACAGAAAGATGCTTTTGTAATTAACATGCAGTGAAGTTGAAGCCTCCCTTTCCTTTACTGCACAATCCCCTCCGGTCAGTCCAGTGACGGTTCACTCTATAAAGATTAATACCAACACATTGTGCAGACTGTAATTATACAAAACAGTCTGATAAGTAGTAGAGGGGTAGAGAAAGGGAATAGCAGTGACCATTACAAACCATGTGGCTGGCCAGCCTGCGAGACATGAGTCTATGGAAAAAGATCAATGTGTTCAGTCCCCAAGGACGCTGCTGTGGAATGGCTGACATGCTGCTGCTGCTGTTAGGCCGCTATTAGCTGCATCATTAACTTGCTCATGGGACGTTTTAGTCAGCCGTTAGCTCCACATGACTTAAAACTCAAATAAAGAATTCACTGGCCTAACTGGCGATGAATAATATAAGTTAATTTATCTAAAAAAAAGCCAATGTCTGCTAGGTTCCCTGAATAGAAGTTGTACTGTACTCTGAAGCCACAGCATGTCAAACTTCTAACACAAAGTTTTATTTATTCCCTCATCTGTGGGATATCCCCTGTCTGCCAGGCTGACAAATCCTTATAAAATAAACTAAATAAAAACAGAAGTGTAATGTATCACACTCACACACAGAGCAGAATATTAAAGCCATCAATAACATTTGAAGAGCAGCCATGTGCTTTTGGTCAATGAGCAATTTATGGCAAATACATTTAAAGGGATAGTTTGGGGTTTTTGAAGTGGATTTTTATGAGTTACTATGGCGGTTAACATGTTCCAAGTTTGGAGAAGCAGACAGAAGTACCAGCATGGACGCTGAACAAACCATTGCTGTGGATGGGGGCAGCAACTAACATCAAAGTCACACAATAACACAAACTAACTAACCAGTCAAGGCAGCAGTGGGCCAGCAACTACTGTGTACTGCGTGGTAAAAGGAGGTTTTGAAGAGAGCATAGATCGATTTAAATGCTTCAGTTTCCCGATGGAAGGGGCTGTCTGACAGCACGTGTCTCCCAGTTAGGATTCCTTCAGTGTTATTCAGAGGGCTCCTCCTCTCCAAAACAAACAGACCCGCTAATTGAAACCAGTAAAAACACTCAATAAAGCAGTTCCACCTTAAAAATCACTGTTTCTCCCACGCTGTTGGGCAGACGTCCCAGAGGGGCTGCAAGCTGATCTGCTGCTAACGTTAGCTCAGAGAAGAAATAAGAGTCAGATATGAAACTCTGGCTACCCAAAGAGTGAGACATGGCTCTCACATAACTGAAGGAATATTTCTGTGAGCAAAGTGGAGGTGTGTGACCTGGAGAATTTCTAAAAATACAAATATGACTTTTGGACACATGGATTCAATATTGCTTGCAACAGAGATATTACTTTAGAAAAATCTAAACAAATCCCACCAAGAAGTGAATGGTGGGATTCAAATGGGATTCAAAGGGATGTCACAAGATCGTAGAATTTCACTGGTATTGGTATTGACTACTAAATTTCTGGTATTGTGACATCCCTTGTCAACGCATACAAGGAAAGTAAGAACATAATCATTAGTCATTATATCAAAGATTGATAAGAAAGAAATATAAGGAATAAAAAAGATGGGGAAAGGAGCTCCATATCAAGATGTTAGATAGTGATCAGCAAAACATGTGGAAGATACATCCTACTGTTGTTCCCAAATATGGACACAATTCTTAAAACAGACATTTTTCACAGCAGCCAGTTTGACATCAAATAGTAGGGCAAATAATGGTGTTACTAATGATACTAATTACCCTGACTCTGTCTGACCTGAATGGGGGCCATTAAGCCATTATGCTCATGCTAAACGTCCTCACTGACACATATGTGGAGGAAACACAGAAAGCCGCATAGCGCCGTGTTGTCTTCAATGTGGCTCCGGGTTCATCCCTCTTTATTATCCTGACCTACATCCAGCTCTTGGCTTGTTCCTGCTGCATTACATCACCTCAGCCAGCTCCCAATGAACCCCTCCAAACCCCCGTACAATACAACAAAGTAACATAAAGGAAGTGGATTGGCTCTGTGCAACATGTCCTCATGGAACTTTTCACTCAGCTCCCACTGCGCTGGTCTGTCTGCACACTTTACAAATACAGGAGGGAAGTCGTTTGTCTCTCTAAGTGTGTTCACTGTAGCCTCCATGATGACTTCAGAGAACACAGAGAGGTGAGGGAGGATGGAGGACAAGCAGGAAATGATGGAAACGAGACTGAAAGAGAAGACTCTATGCTGTTTTCTTTTCCAACCCAATCACAATATAATCACAATATAATCCATCAATTGTCAATACAGAACCCTGATGTAACAAACTCAAAATGCAGAAAGCCGTTGGTGATCATTCATCATTCTGCTGCATGCATGTTTCTCTTCTTTATGCTCATAAAGGCAGACTCAGGCAAATTATTTACAGGCTCTGTTTTTTATAGTAGATCATAGTATCTTAATCTGTCGTGAGACACTGTTGGAGTTGCCAACACTGCTCTTGTGGGCTTCATTTCCGTCCTCTCAAACAGTTTACTCTTGGTAACTTCCTATTCTGTCCCCCTGAACTGTGAGTACCTCAAGGCTCTGTTCTACGTCCCCTTTTATTTCATATCCACATGATTCATGCTACAGATTATATATGTAAATAATAATATTTTATAAGGAGTATGGTCTAGAGCTGCTCTATTTGAAAGGTTTCCTGAGATAACTTTTGTTTTGCAGAACGCTGCAGTGCAAGTACTGACAGGAACTAGGAAAAGAGATCACATCTCTCCTGTACTAGCTTCTCTGCATTGGCTCCCTGTAAAATGTAGAATAGAATTTAAAATCCTCCTCCTCACCTATGAAGCTCTTCATGGTCAGGCCCCTTCATATCTTAAAGAGCTCATAGTACCCTATTACCCCACTAGAACACTGCGTTCTCTGAATGCAGGGCTACTTGTGGTTCCTATAGTCTCTAAAAGTAGAACAGGAGTAGAGCTGATAAAGCTTATAGCTAGGGCTGACTCATGTGAGTCCTGAACCATCCCTTAGTTATAGGCCTAGACAATCGGGGGATTTCCTATGATGCACTGAGACCTACTCTATTTGAAAAGTGTCCTGAGATAACTTCTGTTAGGAATTGAATTGAAATAAAATTGAATTGAACTGTTTTCAGTCTATATGCTAAGCATATTTAATGTACAGACATATGATGAATATGATGAAAGGGGAATTTTGTCTTCTATTCCTTGGCAAGAAAGAGTATTTTCCCAAACCTAACTTACTATTACTTTAAATTAATATATTTCTTCAACACAACACACAAGCTTCTGTGTTTATTGAAAATTATGTCAATGGGACAGACACATCACTCAACACCAACACCTAACATGACATTGACACAATGTCAACACAACACAATTAAATAACGAACTGAAGACAAAATGGCACTTCACTCTGATTTTCTAGGTTTGTAAGATTAGCACCAAGATGCTCGAACTCTACTGAGGTAAACAAAGAACAAGTATTGTATAGTCTAAAACGATGTATATAATATAAAATAATAATAATAATAATGATTCATGGGTTATTATATTTATGTGTAATGTCACTATTATTACATTAAATGTATATAAACAATAAGAATTAATAATAATATTATTTAATCTGATGATCCTAATAGAAAACTAAACAACTACAATAAACACCTGGTATGCAATAAAGGGCAAACAACTGGAGGACTATAGAGTGAGTGTAACTCTACCACATGTGTGTCTTACCTGCCAGGTCTTCCTTAGAAGAAGCGATGCGAGGGGAACTGTTGCCAGGTTCAATCTTCAGAGACAGCCTGCAACACAAATGATTTCCACACTTACTACTGTCCAGACAGAATGCATCACACACTCACTGCTGGGATATCAATTCCAGCACTTTAATAATAGAGTTTATTGAGCTAAGATCATTCAAAATCAGCCTACAGTACTGTATGTCAAACTAAGCATTACTCAGCTAAGCAATGAGGCTTCATACTGTTTTCATCATCTGTTGATGTAAAAGGGGGGTTGAGAAAAAGGCACACATGGCTTATAAAAGTAGTTATAGTTTTATACAAGGAGTAGTGGGTTCCATTTTGAAGCTAATGGTATCATATGAAACTAGAAGACCTAACACATCCATTGGTACCAACCATTTCATGCTAGCATGTTGAGAAGGGGGCTAATAATAATGCTACATAATTAGGATACATTTTGCAGATGGAAAAATTGGCCTGGCCATTTTGAAAGTGACCTCTGACCTCAAGATATCTGAATTATAAAGGGTTCTATGGGTAGCCATGAGCCTCCCCTTCTTGCAGACATGCATTATGCTCATCCCTAAAGGTTTTTTCACGTGGTATAAATGTGTTATTTTTGCCTAGTGTATTTGAAAATGTCTACATACTGGGGTACATACACAGTGTTGGAATTGCATAAACAGGGAATGACTGGAAAGTTGAGACACACACTTCATGCATAAGTCAGTGCCCCACTTGTGCCACCCCAGTTAAAAAAGTCTGGAAACGCCCCTGGGTGTCTTGGCATGAAAATCAGTGGGATCTATAATTAGGCAGTAAACACAGGTGTTACCATTGACACTAATTAAGATTCTGTTCCATTTAGTGTAGCAGAGCCTTTCCAGTGAGCCAACACGCACAATGACCTGACTGGAACGGAACCTTAAAAAGGTCTATAAATCATAAAAAAAAAACTTTTTAAAAAAATGAAATAATTTATATCATGGCTTTTCAACTGGTGAACTTGTTCTGAATAGGAATTGGAGTGTGTGGATAAAAAAAAATCAAATTTAAATGCTTAATTATCTGATGACTTTAATTTTGAGAGAACATTTTCCACAAATGTCCATTAAGTGAAAACAGCCCTCACTTATTTATTTATTGTGTAAACGCAGTTATGATGTTTATTCATATTCATAGATATCAGCAGCAGGCAGCTGTGATGTTCATACTTATTTACATTTTACATACTTAGATTACAGTTTATTATTAGTAATGTACTCTGATTGCAGGGATGAAAATATGTATGAAAATGTGTATATTATGCTTTTAAAAAATGACACTGTATATGTGTTTACTAGCCCTATGACTGCTCTGTGTGTGTGTGCTGCCAATCGGTGTGTGTTTATGTGTCAATGGGCCTCATGCAAGAAGTGATATACTAACAATTTTTGTCCTATCTTTTTTATATCCATGATTTGCTTGTTGTTTGTAAGTACGCGTTGATTTCTGGGATGCAATCCAATCTAAAATTGAATGCAATTTTTACGCTTCTTTTAGGTAAGACAATATTTTACCAATGGTCGAGAGTACTTACCAATATAAGAACAAAAGTTTTTACAGTCCACAAATTGTTTGTCCAGCATAAGGATTTTAAAGGTGAGGAACAAAAAAAGGCATGAATACCATATAATTAGATCGCTGCTCTTCTGTATACTGTCAGTTTTAGGCTGGAATAAACTTGAACTAGATTTGCATAAAAATGACTGGAAGCTTTAAACAGCCAGTTTGGGCTTCAAACTCCAAAGTACACGAACTGAACTTGGCGTACTTTGTATGTCTGCGCAGGCTCATTTTGGTCTACCAGCACATGGAAGAGTCCCAATAAAGCCTGTTCCTTGGCGAATCGTATTCTGCCACTCATCACCACATTTGGAAAGTATTTAGTGAAACACTGCGGGTGGAAGAAACTGTGGTTAAATAGTCATTAATTAGTGAGAGTGGGTTTGGTTGTGTTCATGAATGACTGTTTAGAGTGCTGGCTCCAAAGAAAAACAGGAGTGCCATGCAAACCTCCAACACACTCCGTCATGTGTATGATGTAATGTCCACATCACATCATACAATCAGGCAGGTTTCATCCGTGCATCTGTTTCATCTCGATACTACTATTGTTAGTAATGCTCTGTGACTGACTTAGCATCTCATCTCTGGCAACACTATCGACAGTTTCCAGAGTTGCACAATACAAAGCATTTAATTTATTCACAGACTGAACTGATTCATGTTAGAAACTTTCACTGTCTAAATGCATTTCTAATTAAACTACTGTATGTTCTTGTTTCTTTGGATCAGCATTTAAAGGTCCTTGAATAAATTGGACTGAATTGAATTGAATCTTACAGTGTAAGATTCAATTCAATTCAGTCCAATTAATTTTTATTTGTATAGCGCCAATTCATAACAAAAGTTATCTTAGGACACTTTTCAAATAGAGCAAGTCTAGACCGTACTCCTTATAAAATTATTTACAGAGACCCAACAATTCCCACCATTAGCAAGCACTTGGTGACGGCGGCAAGGAAAAACTTTCTTTTAAGAGGCAGAAAGGAAAGACAATGGAAAGACGCTGGCTCTAGTTTGGTGGCTATCTGCCTCGACCAGTGGCATCTAGTGGTCTAGTTGCAGATTGCAACTTCCTTGCTTTACCTTCCCCGCTTTACCTTCCCCTTCTAAGCATGAAGGAGAAACTACAGCGGCTGAAAGATGTGTGAAATAAACAGCCATATCTAGAGCCAGTGTCTGGTTTGTCTCTTCTCGACTACTGTAGAAACATGGTAATTCAACATGACGGCTCAAGATAACGATTCTTATTTACAGGTGATTATGCACTAATGAAAACATACCTAGATCTTAGTGCTGCATTTGACACCATTGACCATGATATTCTTTTAGAGACTTGAGAATCAAATTGGCATTAAAGGAACTGCACTAAGCTGGTTTAGGTCATATTTATCAGATCGTTCTCAGTTTGTACATGTTAATGATGAATCTTCCATAAATACAACAGTTAGTCATGGAGTTCCATAAGGTTCTGTACTTGGACCAATACTATTTACTTTATATATGCTTCCCTTAGGCAACATTATTAATCACTCCACTTACATAACTTTCATTGCTATGCAGATGATACGCAGTTATATCTATTGATCAAGCCCGATGAAATTAATCAATTATCTAAATTACAAACTCCTGGATGAGTTGCAATTTTCTGATGTTAAACTAAGAAAAAAATTATTTTTTTTTACTTGCCCCAAAAACCTCAGAGACTCACTGTCTAAAGATATAGTTACTCTAGATGGCATTACCTTGGCCTCTAGCACCACTGTCAGGAATCTTGGAGTTATCTTTGATCAGGGCATGTCATTTAATTCCCATATAAAGCAGACCTCTAGGACTGCCTTCTTTCATTTACGTAAAATATTACAAAAATTAGAGCAGAGTTCGGTCTAGACCTACTCTATTTGAAAAGTGTCTTGAAAAGATAACTTCTGTTATGAATTGGCACTATACAAATAAAATTGAATTGAATTGAATTGAATTGAATTGAATGAGACACATCCTGTCACAGACGGATGCAGAAAAACTAATCCATGCATTTGTTACTTCTAGGCTTGATAACTGCAACTCCTTATTATCAGGCTGCCCCAATAAGTCCATTAAGACGCTCCAATTAATTCAGAATGCTGCAGCACGAGTACTGACAGGAACTAGGAAAAGAGATCACATCTCTCCTGTACTAGCTTCTCTGCACTGGCTCCCTGTAAAATTTAGAATATAATTTAAAATCCTCCTCCTCACCTACAAAGCTCTTCATGGTCAGACCCCCTCATATCTTGAAGAGCTCATAGCACCCTATTACCCCTCTAGAACACTGCATTCTCTGAATGCAGGGCTACTTGTGGTTCCTATAGTCTCTAAAAGTAGAACAGGAGCCAGAGCCTTCAGTTACCAAGCTCCTCTCCTGTGGAACCAGCTTCCAGTTGTGGTTCGGGAGGCAGACACCCTCTCCACATTTAAGAGTAGGCTTAAGACGTTCCTCTTTGATAAAGCTTATAGTTAGGGCTGGATCAGGTGAGTCCTGAACCATCCCTTAGTTATGCTGCTGTAGGCCTAGACTATCGGGGGATTTCCCATGATGCACTGAGCTCCTCTCTTCCTCTCTCTCTCTTTCTGCACTCATTCATGTCCCATTAATGCATGTTACTAACTTCACTTCTTCCCCAGGGTTCTTGTGCTGTCTCATCTCGCAGGTTCTCATGGATCCTGGTGGAGCCTCCTGCCATGGTCCTGCTTGACTGCCATCTCTAATATTACTGATATTATTATTAATATTATTATTACTACAGTGTCTGTCTGTCTGTCTGTCTGTCTGTCTGTCTGTCTCTCTCTCATTCAAAATGGGCTTTATTGGCATGAAAGTTTTTTAAAAACAATATTGCCAAAGCAAAGTATTCAAATACAATACAATAAATCAAAGATATATACATTATTATTATATGAACATTATATTAGTTATATAATAAGCCTCCTGCCATGGTCCTGCTAGATTGCCATTGCCAATACTGTTTCTGTCTCTCTCTCTCTCCCCCCCCAACCGGTCGAGGCAGACGACCACCCACCTAGAGCCGAAGGGTCTGTCTTAGGTTTCTGCCTCTTAAAAGGAAGTTTTTCTCTATTTGAAAAGTGTCCTGAGATATACAAATAAAATTGAATTGAATTGAATTGAATTGAATTGAATACCTATGAATATTATATTCCATGTCTGATAATAGATCCTCCTAAATGTTACACACTGGACCACAAGATCTTTTTAGTTTAGTAGAAATAGTTCTGCTTGTGTTTTCAGTACATGTATTTTGATGGAAACTAAGACGGAACTGACCCCCGTCGCTACGTGAAAAAACAACAGTCTCCGTGCTAGCAACCTATATACTAGACAGTCTTCAATGTCAGCAGCATTGTTTTGACCAATGTACTGATCCATCCCACTGCACACAAGCTTTTACAGCTAT